CGGAGCTGACTGTACGTCTTTTTTTTTGGGGGGTGGTTCCTTTCCAGTTGCTTCACCTTTGACCCCTTTCAAACCCCCCACCTTGTTTTTTTTTCTCCTGTCGTTCGTTGCTAACGCAAAATTTGGCCCAGTCGACTTCGACACGTTCTCCAAGATCCTCAACCGCCCCGGCGGCTTCCGCGAGCCCTTTGATATCGAAGAATACATCCGCGGCTTCCAGGTGTTCGACAAGGATCGCAGCGGGTTCGTGGGCAAGGGCCAGATCAAGTATATCTTGACAAACTTGGGCGAGAAGATGAGTGAGGAAGAGGTGGATGAGTTGTTCAAGAGCACGATTGACGCGAGTAATAATGAGGTGGATTACAGGGGTGAGTGTTTTTTTTATCCTGCTACCTTTTGAAGGATGTGTGTATGTGTGCGGAAAGGCTAACGTGTGATGTGATGTTCAGAATTCGTCAAGACGATTGCGGAGAACTAGAGATTGCTCCCAAAGTTTGGAGAGTCAATGTCGAAGTCTTTTTTGTTTCTCCCGCAGGTAGAGATGGGAGATGGAGACTACTTCTTCTTTTTTTTTGTGTGTGTGAACGCGAGCAAATGTCTGAAACGGGATCATGGTTTTTCTCTTTTCTCTGATTGTGTTTTTTTTTACATGGCTTGATGGGAGGGCGTTGGAAGACAAATGAAGCTTAAACTACTTTACTATTACGACCTATGATGAAGTAGTATCATGTCCTTCTTCTACCTTCTTGTTCTTGTTCTTCTTCTTTGTTTTGATATCAGCAAACTCGATGACAGAAGGGGGGGGGGGGGAATGCAATGAAATTTGTCCAAGTTTCCCCCCCTCTCTCTCCTCTCTTCCCTTGTACATGCGTGCAAATACTGTCGTTGTCTCCTTATTCCCCCTTTTCTCCATCTGACACACGTATATCCTATTCCAACCGTAATCCGTAAACATTAACCCCTTTCTCCTTGCATTAACCCCGTTCGTTATACATACTTAGTCGGCCATCTATCCCCCATCCCTTTTTCCTCATCAACTCTCTCGAACAACTTTGGAAGAAAAAAATTAATATCTAGTTGAATATTGCGCCAAGGTATATGAGAGAGAGGAGCGGGGGGGGGTTATGGTATGTAGAATTCTTTTTGTTGTTGTGGGAGTGGGAGTGGATTTAGAGTTTTGTTTGGGACGAATTGGAAGATTGAGGGGATGAGGAGGTTTGGGGTACGCTGGGTTGAAAGAGGGAAGGGAGGGAAGATGGAGATGAATGGGGTTCATGCAGAGTTCCTTGCCCCCCCCCCTCCCCTCTGCATGCACGTAGGTGCGCACGTGTGGGTATCATGTGTGTGTGTGTGGGTGAATAGAGTTTGTGGATGGTGTCATTTGAGGATTTTTAGATTACCAGTGTTTGGTAGCAAGGGGAAAAGGAGGGGGTGCAATCAAGAATAAAAGTTACCGGAGACATTACAGTCATTTTTTGCACAGAAAAATGGGCATGTAAGATCTGGAGCTCCCGCACCGCATGTAGCGGTGGGTGTATATCATGTACCTGAAATTTGCTAGACTACTTGTAATGTCTCTAATCTTGTAGGAGGGGGGTATCTGTCGCAAAGCGGTCTCAACGCTCGCTTGGTACATGTGTGTATATCTCCCGACTTGTCTGTCTGTCTGTAGGAAGAAGAGAGAGAGAGAGGAGAGAAAAAACGCTACCATATCCCATATCGTAACAAGAGAAGAAGAAAAAAGGAAAAGAAAAATGACGAGAGGAAAGAATAATTCTTTCATGGCTATAGAGATAAGAGACAAGTCATGACGAGATGAGAAAAAGAAAAAACCAGGCGAGAAAAAAGGGAACGCCTGTTTGCCCGTGCGCCAGCCTGGATGCGGAGTTGGTTGAGATAGACTTAGGTAGAATGGGGTGTGGGCGGGCGGAAAGCGGGGGAAAGTCCGATTGCGGAATTGCCCCTTACATCCCCTTACCCCATTGCGAACCGTAAGCGTGGGGAGGAGGCGAAGAGGCCGGAGTTTCTCTTTTTTTTGGTTCCTTTTCGTTGTACACACCCTTGCCCCATTGCGAACCGTAAGCGTGGGGAGGAGGCGGAGAGGCCGGAGTTTCTATTTTTTTTGGTTCCTTTTCGTTGCTATACACACATGCACATACAGTGTGTGTGGCCGTGTTTTCGCTTCTGCATACACAGCAAGCGAGATAACGCACTATTCCTCGAGGCGGCAAGCTGAGAATAGATTGATGGATTGATCAGGAAAAAAAATAGTCGTCGATGATCCTTGTCAGCCTCAGACCTTTACTTCTGTGACGTTGACGGTGCTGCCCATGGGATTTGACGACGAAGAGGCAGCAGAGGCGGAAGCCATCTTGTTTGCAACCATGTCGCTAGTCTTGACGAAGCCACCCGGGAGCAGGAAGACATAATCTTCTCGCCTTCCGATGCGATCGACGGAGAATTGCTGCCAGTCGAGCTGGTAACCGACGACGAGGTCACAGCGGCCGCAGCGCTGGAGATAGCGCTTTTCGAAGCCTGAGTCGCTGGTGATGATCTCGGCTTGGCGGTCTTGGCGAGTGGACAGCAGGAGGCCGTAGTGGTCGTGCGTAGTGGCGGAGTTATCCGCAGAGTTCTTGCGTACGGCGGCGGGGGCTGGGGGAGGTAGGGGCATGATGTGGGCGGCGTCGTGGCTGTGGCGACGTGTAGGCAGTGAGGGCAGGGGAGTGGTTGTTGCGAGGAGGAGATGACTGCACAGGCAGTGGTAGGTGTAGACAGTGTTTGAGGCCTGGAGGGAGATTTTCTCGTCTGGGCTGGGAGAAGGCATGGCAAAGTATGCGCGGGAGGTGGTGGCGATATCCATTGTGGTGGTTGTGGTTGTGTGTGGTGTGTGATGTGTGGTGAGGGTGTGGTATATAGTAGTAGTCTGCTCGGGTTCCGATCAACGGGATCCGTAGAGGGGATAGCGGGACACCTGTTTGTATGGACGGGTGTTTTGTGTATGCGAGTCAAGTCTAGTCAAACGACCGTGACTTTTATGAGATAACAGTGCAGAGTGAGTGTGTGTGTGTGTGTGTGTGTGCAGTGGTGAGCAGAGTAATCGGAGGCCCGACCACGCTTCTTATACTCTGCGCTTAGTCGTTGTGTGTGTGTGTGTGTGTGAAAGCGGACCCTGATCCTAGTCTTTTCGCTGAGGCTTACGAGACAAGGGCAGGGAGTGGAACTGTGGGGATGCGCTGGGAGCACGGGCGGGCAGGTTGATCGACGGCGGACAGTGTCTGAGGGTGCCAAGTCAATCCAAGGACGGAGTGGGATAGTCCGTGCTGGCGAGGCGGGCGGACGAGGTCGAGTGGGATGGGCAGTGTGGTGTGTGATGATTTGTTTGGGAGGCCGCGTCGAGCGTGAATGGTCGGAGCTCGGTGCTTCAGCCAAGCTCGCTGATGAGACCCTTTTGGGCGCGTCGGCGGGTGGAGCACGACAGATGGCGTCTGGCAACTAGAGGCGGGCGAGGAGTCACAGGCTCCACTTGCGCAACGGGTGGTGATAAGAGCAGAGCAGCAGCAGCACCGTGGCAGAGGCCAAAGAGGGCTTGGTTGGTTGGGGTGGTGCAAAAAACGGGCGGGCACCTGGAGCAGGACATGGATTTATACCATGGCCAGAGGATGCTGTCGTGAGCCAGGCCTGCGTCGCACAGCGCGGCGTGGGCAATAGCGGCGGGCGTCGGCGGCGGCGTCATTACGAGTGCTGGTGTGGTGTGGGCAGAAAAAAAGACCGGATGGACGCCAGAGCAACGATGCCTCCCCACGGGTGGTTGTTGGCGCGGAACTGGCTGTGCGAATGGATTGGCAGCAGACGACCACGCGTTGGCCGTGGCTGGCTCCGGGCAGCGCCGCTCGTGCCCCTGCCAGTGTGGTGGTCGCATGCCATGTGATGGTGAGAAGGCGACTAGGCCATGTCGGCCGGCGGCTGCGCGTGTGGCTATCGCGGTGGGGACCGAGTGGTGTTGCTGCGCGGTCCTTGGTGCAGTGCAGTATGGCCCAGCCAAGGCGTGGGAGGCTTCCGTCCGTTTCACGACGCTGAGGCGGGCCGAGGGTGATACCGTCGCTGTCTTGGGGCTGGCCTGCTTGCGACGCTGCCGTGTCGACACCATCCACGCCGTCCAGCGAGCGCCAGAATGCCGCCGACCAGCCAGCTCATCACCTTTGGCTCCTTTGTCGTCACCACCCAGGTCGGCCTCGTTCTGTTGAGTGCTGCAGCTCGCAGCCAGCCAGCCAGTCAGCCAACTGACCGGAGCCCCTAGGTTTTCCACCTAACCCGTCTGTCCTTTGCCATTGTCAATCTCAAGCCCCTCCTGCCCGGCCATGTCCTCGTCTCGCCCCGTCGCGTCGTGCCCCGCTTCAACGACCTGTCGACTGCAGAGGTCCACGACCTTTTCGTCGCAGTCCAGCGCGTCTCGCGCATGGTCGAGCGTGTCTTCGCCGCTTCGTCGCTTAACATTGCCATCCAAGATGGTGTAGACGCCGGCCAGAGCGTGCCTCATGTCCACGTCCACATCATCCCCCGCACCAAGGCCGACCTCGACCACAAGGGCGGCTCCGATGCCATCTACGCCATGCTCGACAGCGACGACGCCAACCTGAGCAAGCAGCTGGCACACAAGGCCCGCTTCCCCGCCGTCGACAACAGCAGCCGCAAGCCCAGGTCCGACGACGAAATGCAAAAAGAGGCCGAGTGGCTGGCCCAGGAAATGGCCAAGGATGAGCCTCTTGCTGCTGCTGCTGATGATGATGCTGCTGTCTGAACCACCACGTCCCCCACTCACTCACTCACTCACCCACTCACCCACTGCCTCCATCACTGCCGCTTCCATCTTTACCTGCTAGAAAAATCAAATACCATCATGTTTGCTGCAACTCTGTCGCTCCTGTTAAACAGCGGGGTCCACTGCTGCCCCGAGTCACGCCCCATGGTTGGCCCTCTTGCTTCCTAACCCCCACTTCCCCATCCATTTCAAAACCAACAACTGTAAAATCCCCCTTGCTGCATTGTTCCGTACTCGACCTCGCAAACATCTCTGACGTGCAACATGCTGGGCACCAAGCGCTTGGTCAAACACCACAGTCCCCGATAGGCTTCGGTTTGCTCGCTCTGCCAGCACAACTGTGACACCAAGTCTATTCGTCTGTATTGCCAACAAATGCCAACCGCCGAGTTGAAGACTATCTGGCAAGAGGGCAAGCCTCTGTTTGTCGCCTGCCATCTGGGACAGCATGGAGAGGATGCAGTCCCACTTGGTGGAGCAACTGCCTGTTTGGATACACGCATCCGTCTCGCGTACCACCTCGCCGTCGAAACGTAACTATTCCGAGTAAGCAAGTTTGTCTCAAACGAGTCCCGGTGTAAGTAAGCCCCGACAATGCACGTACCCTAGCCAAATAAACAGTTACAGCCGTCCTCTATGGCATGAACACGTACAAATTCACCATCCATACAAGGGCCATATGGCCCAAGTCGCTGAGGAGCCCATACGTTTTTTGCATCTCTTGGCCACCCTCTCCGACTCCCACTGCTACGCAACTTGCGTCGCATCCACATTCGACCTTGTTGCTGACACTGACAGCTACTGGGCAGTCAAGCGCCAACGAGCACGCCTCCAATACCTGGTTCAAATCCTCAAGGAGCATGCTGACGACCAAGGCAAAGGCTCCTTGTTGCAGCATCTCACGCTCGACTTTCGGCTCACCCGGATTCCTGGTCCAAGGCTTCTTCCGCTTCCTTAGTCGACCGGATACTCGTATTTGCAATCGCTTCGGCCTCCGAAGAGCCTAGAAAAATACATGTTCAGCCTAGAGAGTCTGGCATCGCTTTGTGGTATCAAAAATGTCCAAGTCAACGGGCTCCTTGATTGGTACGCAAAGTGCATGCAGCTTTGTATACAAGGCAAAGGCGGCCAAGTGCAAGAGACCGACTGGCCACAGCTTCAAGTGAGGCGCAGCCAGGGTAGGGGTAAGTTCGATAGTCGCAAGACGACGACGTATTGGGCCACATTGCGCAAGTGACATCGGCCTATGCTGAATTAGAAGGAGTTTGTCGAGCGCAACAATATCGCCCTTCCAGACAATATCGCCAAGTTCTGGACTGGATAGTAGGACTGGGCAGATGGTTACAGGCCCCCCCGCATAGCGATCCTGAATGACATGTGACAGAGAGCCAGGATAGGCCCTTGACAGAGCAATAGCATATCCGCCGTGTTTGAGAGAGCCGCATCCTGACTTACAATCACTGCTAAACGTGCAACCGTGACCATGACTCTGACTCTGTCGACATGTCTACCGTCACACTCATGTGGCCGTCGCCGTTGTAGCTTATTGACGCCAGGGCTCCACCCCACGTTCGCTAATTGATTGGCTCCCGAGCATGACGCGAACATCCATGACATGCCTGACCGACCGGACTCCCTATCGCGCCGCCGCACTTATCGCCATCTGTCCCCCAGACACATCCTCCCCACAGCTTGGTGACAGAAGCTTGGTTGCTGTCTCTTTTGTTTCGTCATCTTCTATTCCTAGCTCTCTAGCTATCCGTCTTCTCTAGGCACTGTCTTCACCTCTTGCTCCCTCCCCGCCTTCCCCCCTTTCAATCGCACTGTCAACGCCACCGCAATGGCTATCGGCGATATCCCCTCCAGCCCCCAGCAGGCGACGGCACCGCCTCAACCCATCGACATTGATGCCTGGACTGAGCAAGCAACCGTTGCCCTGGGCTCTGTAACCATTTCCGTCCCTGGAGATGCGCCTCAGACTGCCCCAGTTACGCTTGCCATTCCGCTCGATGAGCACGATGCGCCCACGGCTGCTGCACACCCTGTAGGTGCTTCAGCAGCCGCAAAAGAAGGCGGATACTATCGTCGCAAGGAGCCGCTTCGCCGCGACAGCATGAAGCGGCGCGAGGCCCTGCTAAAGGGAAAGGAGGGTTCCAGGCGCAGGCAGAGATGGGAGAATGGTACGTTTATCCTTTCTCTCACATACCCGCTTTGCGCACAACACCACTTCCTCCCCATAAAACCCTTGAAATAACCACCATGTCCAACAATAAAATTGATGAGTGAACCTTTGTCACCAGATCGTCTCCTAAACAACCCCCACGCCGAACCCCCGCTCCCCAGAGACTGGGAAGTCCACCCTACACACACGCCCAAACACGTGCCTTACTACCTCGCCCCGCTCTGGGACCAAGGCCTGAGTCGCCAATCCATCGACCGCCGCTCCGCCGCCCTCGCCCAAAAAACCGCTCAGAAAACCATCGCTACCAACCCCTCTGCGCCCGGCATCGTCCCCAAGGAACTCCGCGACAAACTCAAGCGCTCGCGCGGCGCAAAGGGCCTCCTCATGGACCTCGAGAGCCAAGTCAGAAGCTTCGTTGCAGAGTGGCACGACAAGGAGCGCCAAGCCGCGCAGCTCGGTGTCCCCACCGACCCGGACAGCGAGGACGACGAGATTGTTTTTGTGGGCAGAAATGGACACATGAATGATGTTGCTTCTTCGCCTTCTTCGTCGGCCCTGCTGCTGCCCCTCAAGAAGGAGTTGATGCTTTTTGATACTCCCGAAGAGGATGTCGGCGGCTGCTTTGGGAGGTGGCTCGTCCATCATATTGCCGTTTATTATGGCTTGAGCACTTGGAGTGTTACTGTCGGCGATCCTGCCAGGAGGGAGGCGTATATTGGCGTCAAGAAGGGGGGAGGCGACGCCTTGCCTAGGCCCTTGTATGGCTTGGTCTAGGTCTTATCATTTTTTTGCATGTGCGACGTGTATATATGGCCAAGTGGTTTAGGCAAATTGTTGTCTACATGGATTAGAGTACGCATAGTTATTCCACTCTTGTGTTCTGTTTCCAAGACTAATATAGTTAAAGTGTTGTAAAAAAAAAGACCTTTGGGAGAAAAAAAAAGAGATCATACACTTTGTTTCATTTCCTTCATATGACAAACCCCCTCCCCAAACACGCTAGTCGTAATAAAAGGGGGGAAGAGGAGGAGGAGGGAGAACCCATATAGTAGTAGGTAGTATCCAAACCTGTGGGCCCCATACATCTTCTTTATCTTACTCAAAACGACGCAAATGCCAACTCATACGCGAGCGCCAGCGTCATCCTGGCATGCTGCAGCATATGATCGAAGCTAAGATACTCAATCTTATCCTCGGTCGTATGAATCTTATTATCGCTATACTTGAAATCCGACTCAATCACAAACGCCGAGGGGTACCCGGCCTTTGAGGCACTGGCGTGATCCGAGCAGGCATAGCCGCACTTTGTCAGCACATAGGGAATACCGCAGTAGGCGGTGATGATTTTCTTGATAAACTCGGTCAGGCCCGGGTCGACAAAGTCGGTGATGACGCCGACAGATTCTGGTTCGCCTGCGTCGAGCGTCTTTTGCACGTAGCCCGTCATGTCTTGCTGCAGCATGGCTTTTACGTTGCGGCCTGCGCGCTCGTACGCCTGGAAGATTGCCTGGGAGCCGAGCAGGCCGCCTTCCTCGGCCGAGTACCAGTGGAATTCTATCGTGTTTTCTGCTTCGCCCGCGACGATTTCGGGCGAGTGCAGCAGCACCCGGAGCGCCTCGAGGATGGTCACGGTGCCGCTGCCGTCGTCGTCGGCGCCCGGCGCGGCGAGGAAGGCGGGGAAGTACAGGTTTATGCTGTCTTGGTGCGCGCCAATGACAATCGTCTTGTCGCTTTTGCCCGGGATTGTGGCGATGATGGAGGATTGGCCCCAGGGGTGGGCGAACGGTTTTACGGTTGCATTGACGGCGCCGGCGTCGACGAGGGTTTTGTTGACTTGGCTTAGGAGCCAGGCTGAGCTTTCGGCCCCGTAGTGCGACTTGTAGTAGCGTGTGTGGAACGAGGTGAAGGTCTCCAGGTGGGCGCGCATGTTTTCCTTCTTGAGCTCCTTGAGGAGTGGGTCGATGGCCTTCTGGTGGATGGGCTTCTCTGGGAACTTGACGCTCTCGACGGAGACCTTGCTGTTCAGCGTGCCGAGTTCCTTGTTGTGCGTAATGTCGAAGAAGTTGATGTTTTGCTGCGGTATAGTTAGTGTCTAGTTTGTCTACAGTGTCATGTGAGATGACATACTTTGCGCAACTCCCACTTTTCGTTCTCAGTCACCCATCGCGTCTCGCCAGGTGAGAGCTCGATGAGATACTCATCTGGCTCCGCGATAGTGACCTGCTGCTGGTCCTGGAGTACAGCTTGGCCTTGAGGCGACGAAACAGCTGCCGCGAGGGCAGCAGTGTACAGCGGTAGCAAAAGAGTTGTAGACTTCATGGTTTTTGGGTATATGGTTTGCAAGGACGGTGAAGGTTGTATGTTGTAATGCGACTGGTTGACGCGGTGATATGGAGATAACGGCCAAGCCGCCCCAATGACGCGCTATCAGCTGTTTGGCGCTAGTGCAACTCTAGCAGGAGGTCGCTGCTGCGTAGATTCTGGGGAAATTCAAGTTGAGAAGATGTTTTGTTGATCAAGTTGGATTTACATCAGGACTCACACGCGTTCTTCTACACCTATTTTTGCATCTCCCCTCTTGTGTCGATGACCATGTTCTGATGGCTGGATGGTTCAACTGGAAAAGGTGGTTCTTGTCAATACACGAGAGTCAGGCGTTGAGCCTGGCTACTACTACTCAGGGCAATAACATGCACGGTCGAATATCATATCAGTGCTACTCTTATCAGATGTGGTCCCATGGTACATGTACATACAAAGTTTCGCTAACCGTCTACAACCCATGTCTAAATGTCGTCATCATACCACTTGTCACAATAGACACCCAGATACCTTCATCCATCCATTACCAAGTACCTATCAACTTGTGCGTGTTGTCTCTTTGATCGATTGAATCCAGATAAAGATAACTTCGATTCTCGCTTTTTAGCCTAAATCCGACACCGAGGTCACGTTCATCTTTGCATGGAAAGGACATTTCCCCACACCACAGGAAAGCATCAGGTTACAAAGATCATCAAACCGCCACATACTGCTACTATTTTGAGATCATCATGACGGAATCTTCTGTTGTTCTTGTTAGTAGCAACATTGACACGCAACAAAGCAACATGGGCTAATCTTCGGCTTCACTTGAAGGTTACTGGCGGAAACACCGGCATTGGTTATGAGACTGTCAAAGCATTGTATGCTTCGCCGAAACCCTACAAAGTCCTAATGGGTAGCCGCTCCCTGGAAAAAGCCACGGATGCAATCTCCAAGCTCAAGACCGAGGTCCCAGAATCAAAATCTGAAGTTGAGGTAATTCAGCTCGATATCGAGGATGACGAGTCCATTGAGAAAGCATTCGAGAAAGTCAAGAGCAAGTATGGCCGTCTTGACACTCTAGTAAATAACGCAGGTATGTCATAACTCGGCTGGATGTGATAGGACCAGACTCGTTTACTCAGACGGACAGGTGCATCCTTTGACAACGATCTGCGCAAAGATTCCAGTCCCAAAAGTATCCGCGCCGTCTGGGACAAAGCCTACTCGCTCAATGTCACCTCGACTCAAGTCGTGACATATACCTTTGCCCCTCTCCTGATTGCTTCTTCTGACCCCAGGTTACTCTTTGTAACCTCCGGTCTGTCCTCCTTGGAAACTTGCTCCAATGGCGTCGACTCCAAGCTTGTCGATACAGGCAAAGCAAAAGGATGGCCCAAGCCTCAAAACCCTACTCCAACAGCCTACAGGTCCAGCAAAACGGCGTTGAACATGCTAATGTTGAGCTGGGCGATAATGCTTCAGGCGGATGGCGTAAAGGTGTTCGGTATTAGCCCAGGGTTCTTGGCTACGGGGCTCGGAGGATTGGGGCCTGACTTCTTGAAGAAATTTGGTGCAGGAGACCCAAGCGTTGGTGGAGAACTCATCAGGGATGTTGTCCAGGGGAAGCGAGACGAGCATGCTGGCAAGGTTATCAACAAGGATGGTGTGCAACCTTGGTAAACGCGTTGTATCGGGTCATGGGTGAGGTTGGGGTGATAATTCTCTCTCGGAGAATAAGACCCAACCCGATTCAATATCACACTGCATACAGTCGCTCAGTCTATACCAACGTGTAAAGTGTGGCACCGCTTGTCTTTGTACCCTCCTTGCATTTCTTTGGCTCATCTTATCTTCTTGGGGTGGGAATTATTTATTATCTAGTAAGCACTTGTACTGCACAATGTGGTCATATCAAACCCCCCTAAGTATAAACCATTTTGTGTTACGTGGGGGCAGCCGCGTTCGCCTCGTCTCGCTTGTTCAGGTAGAAATCGGTAATGTCTAGCTAAGCTCGCTTGATAGTAGAGAGGCGATATCTGCAGGGAAAACGCTCTGGATCATCAAGATATACATGTTATGCAGAATTTATTCTAGCCCTGTCTGTCTCCATCATCACATCCATAGTGACAGTGATAAGCCTTGTAGATGTTCTCACATTCATCGGTACATCAGCTGCAATTAAGATATGTTGCATAAGAAGAGATAAGGGGAGAAACCAGAAAAAAAAAACAGCGGAAAAAGGTTCCCGTCGCCATGACCCACAGCGGACCAGCTCCCTGATTCTAGAAAGTTGAATGGCGCAATGGGCTGGCCGTTAGTAGTGGGGCAAGACTAATGAGCCGTTTAGACAATTCAGCTTGGTATTGATCAACCCTCGAAATCTTGCCAACCTACAAAGTCTCTACCTTCTTATTTCAGTGATTTGTACCCATATGTTCACAATCGTATGAGGTTCGAGAACCCGTACTGCAAAGTACCTTGGGAGATGGACAGGATTTGCTACAATCGACACACCATCGGGGACCGTAAGCTAACGATTCACATACATATAGGAAGAATCAAGATAACAGGTCTTGGTAATATTGATATGATATTTTTTTTTATAAACTGAACTCGCGCCTTTCGCAAATGGACACTTGAGGTTCCAAGTTCCAAGTTTCGCGGCTCATTGAAATTTGGCCCCCACCCGGCCATCTTAACCGGGCAGCTGGCCCCCAAAACACGGCTGGCAGATGGGCAACTTGCAGTAGTACTACACAGCATTGACATTAGTTCCCTGTCGGCCAAGTACCTATCAGGCTTCGCATATAATTGTACAATGTATGATGAGCTCTGCGGACTAGGCTCCGGCCCCTGCCTCAGCTTTGTACAATACCGAGGCGCATGACTTTGCACCAATAAGGGGACTCCCAAGAGATAGAATTGGGAAAGTGCTTATGAGGATTACATCGAGCCGGGGTGTTACGATTTCGTCCTATCTTCCGGCGGTTACAAAGGCGACGGCTGGCAGACTTTATTCTAGTCTAACACAATAAATACAGCAAATCCCAAAGAGTAGGCTCACACAGTGAGACGGGGCCTCCTTTCGCCATGTCATCAGAAGACAAGTCGATCTATCTTGGACTCTGGACCAACTGGTCTCACGGATCGGTCGTAGGTCTAACCTACACAACCACACTAGACAATGGCGGCTTGTTCATCGCTTTTCTCGCCCTTTTCGTCGCGTTTACCGGTACCTGTTTCTGGAGCATCATCTCCTTCACTGTCCATCAAATCCTGAGTCGACCCTCTCCTCAGGATGCCATCTACCACCAACAACAAGCTATTCTTCGCAGCTCCGACACCAGTTCTGCCGCACTATGGAGGTTGATAAGACTGTCATGGGCTTGGCGTAAGATATCGTGCGCCGCCTCCTTGAAAGCAACGGCAATACCGCTAGTTGCGAGTCTGGCTACCTTTACTGCATTTACTGCAGCTGGTATCTTCTCTTCACGCGTTGCCTCATCCAGAGGCAGTGAAGTCCTAGTAATTGGGGACAATTGCGCTACTGTGAACGGTTCTCTCATAACAAATGACAATGTTGCCATGACTCAATACTACTTTGCCAGTCGAATCAGATCGAGCCTCAATTACAAGGCAAACTGCTATTCAGGGTCAGACTCGACAGAACTCTGCCGCACATTCGTTCGAAACAGCCTTCCCGTCACAGTCACACGCAGCGACTCTTGTCCTTTTGCAGGAAAAGATACCATTTGTCGCACAGAGAACGGGGCTATTCGCATCGACTCTGGGCTTTTGAACAGCCACCACGATCTAGGCATCAATGCGCCGCCTTCATCTCGATTTCTTTACCGCACTGTCAACGAGTGTGCCCCTATACGCGGCAAGGGCTACGCACGGTTTAACACTACAAGTGTGCCAAACACCATGCAGCTCTTATATGGAAGCGATCCAAGAGTATGTCCAGAATCAGAGAATTGTACTATGACATTTGGTTATGGAGTGCGGGTGGGCAGTGCCCTATCACGCAACCAATACACAGTCACGTACGTGCTCCTCCCCCATTATATATGTACCAATCACTGACTTCAAATCTTAGGACCACCACTAAATGGCAGGTGACTGAAGAATTCTCGTACCTCAATATATGGGAGCCAATACCTGAGCTGGAGGTGCCCAACGCAGACATCAGTGTCCTATTCTTGGAGATTAACGATGTTGTTTTCTCCAGTCCGGTGGCTGACCCTTGGTACAACGCTCAAGCAGGACCTCGCAGCGGATCCACGGTCTTGGGCAATACAACTTTCTACTACAGCGACCAGCCGGCAAGGACTCTCGCATGCGCTCAGCAATATCAATTTTGCAATCCGTCGCTTCCCAAAAACATCAGCTGTACACCATTGACGGGGATATTTGAAGCTTCTAGACTGGCTGAAACAACCCTTTTCACAGACCCAAAGGCTAGCAACACCTTCCATTGGTCCTCGCTGGCAATCAAGAATATGGCAAACGGTTTTAATGAGCTCATCACCATCTTGCGAGGTGGAGCCCTTCTCGCAAGTGACACCCTATCTGGAGTTGGACAATTTGCTCTGCCTGACAACCAGTGGGAGCTTGAACTAGAGCATTGGTTTAAAACCACCCTTGCCGATCTTCAACGAGCAGTGCTCGACCAGGCCACTGGGCCAGCAGACAAAAGGGCGGCTTCTATTCATTCTGGACCTACAACCGCAGAGGCACGCGTTGTCTGCCAAAACCAGAAGATTTTATCCGACTCCTACACCTCTTTTAACGTACTCGGTATAATACTTATCTTCTCTATTGGCGGTCTTATTGTGCTCATTTCGGTTTTTCTACCATCAGCAACCGCGCACTTGCAGAAAAAGCGGAAACCCTTCGCCAGCCTCGAATGGGTCTCAAACGACACATTGCAGCTTCAGCGACTAGCACATGAGGCTGTCGGTGCAGGAGAGTGGAAGGGCGCATGCGACGATTATCCACGTACGCGAAAGAACGATCTATTGGCTGTCCTCGATGTAGCCGACCGAAAGCACCCTATGCTCAGATTAGCACCGAGGGCAGCCGACACCTTGGAGACAGTAGTCGAAGAACAACACTACGGCGTGCAGAAAGAGGACGATAGCATGAGGACACGAACATACGACTCGACACAGACTTCTCTCCTCAATGTAGAGATTCCGCGCACGTCTTTGCAGCTTTCACGGCGGTTTACAGACGATGTATGTTAGTAGTCGTAGTAGTCCGGCTTGGGTAGACTAGTCTAGACTCTCCCACTAGATGGGGAAATAGAATACGAGCAAAACTCCGAATCGTAACGAAATAATAAAAAATGTATATTAGAGCAATAACAACGCTGTACTAGCCGCAAAGCACGCCAATCGCGCTAGATAATTACGTGACATGTGCCTCGGCTGATGCGATCTACCATTCCGATAAGCCATCCTTACATACATAAACATACTACTACATTTACCCTTTGCTTTCACTCACACATTTCTGACTCTAACACCCCTTACTCACAAAATAAACTTTCCCAAATGCCAACAACAAGAGGCCAGCAGCACGCCGCAGACATGGAAGCAGCGCTAAAACTCTTCTTCTCGTCGCCACGCTTCGCCGTCGCAGGCGCATCATCTGATCCGCACAAATACGGCCATAAAAGTACGCTCCCCGAAATGACAAAACCCTCCAACACTTTTTTTCCTTCACCCTAGTGCATGTGTTAGCGGGATAATCACCTAACACCCCCCACTTCAGTATTCGCATGGTACCTCCGCCACTCCCTCCCCGCCGTCCCCCTCAACCCGCGCTCTCCCACCGTGAACATCCTAAACAAAGACCACACCACCGTCGCCTCTCCAACCGGGCTTACCGACCCCCCTGCATCTGACTACTCGCTCTCCGTCATCACGCCGCCGAGCGTCACCAAGAAGCTGCTCAAGGAAGCGAAAGAGGCGGGGATCCCTGCGGTGTGGTTGCAGCCGGGGAGTTTTGACGACGAGGTTTTGGAGTATGCGAGGAGCAATTTTAAGGCGGCGATTGCGGGGGATGGGGGCTGGGGGAGCGAGGGATGGTGTGTGCTCGTGGATGGGGAGGAGGGGATGAGACTTGCGGGACGGGAGGGGTCGAGGCTTTGAGNGGACTGAGATCGGGCCAGGAAGGGACTTTTTATGAGTATTGATAGAGGATTGAATGAATTTTCAAATTATACTGTGAAATTTGATCTGCAGAAGGCGGGGGGGTTTTTTTTTTTGGCTACTTTGAATGTTGTGATTTGCGTGAAAGTGCGGAATGTTTGGTTGAGTTGCAATCTGAGTTGAAGGCCGCTTTGAGCTGGAGAAGAGTAGAAAAAGTGTGAGATACCGTTGTTCAAAGCCAATTTTCAAGATTAAAATCCCCAAGGCAACCTCAGCGTGTCTAATAAACGCTCAACTCTTTTTCTTAAAGTCTACTATCCCTCCGTGACGTATATTAGATGAGTCAGCAATCAACACTATTACGGTAGTATACTTCTTAAGCACACAGACCCTTGAAGTATTAATAGTTTAGTTATCTAGGATTAGGTATCTGGCTATACTGGCAACATAGTAGTATCAGACTTATGAGAAGGTACTCTGTAACCTGTCCCCTGTCGGATGTACTCTCATGTGTTTGTAGCTTCCGCTTTGTGCACATGGTCCACCAAGTTTCGTAAGCGCGACATTAGTGTTGTCTCACATCAAACAAAGCTAATTCTTTCTGACAAAACATGTAACCTTTTGAAAGCTACGGCCTAACACTACAAACTTTGCAAGTGCGTACTTCTAAAGTTCTAGCGAGGGGAAAAGATAGTTATGTACGTAGCAGTGTATGTATTTATACCTGCCTCCCCTCCTGAGCTTGATGTTAGCTTATTTACACAGCATCAGAATCCAAGTTACATATTCAAATTATCTCATCTATTTACCTTCTACCCTAATAACTCTCATTTAAACATGCGTTCTTTTATTGTTACCCTTATCATTACTTTCGCAAGTACAGTAACTTCGGAAATTCCTCCTTTAGGCTGTATTGTTACATTCGACTACTGTAACGGTGAATTGCCTGGTAGTGGTTGTGTGTCCATATGTCCTATTACAGGTGGTAACCAATATGGCTTGCCAATCAAAGGTGTATGCTTGTGATATGTCTTAATAAACTTATAGGAGTTATTTCTTTCTAACTATAAACCTAGAAACTCGACTGCTGAAAGAGCAGCCAGTGGTAAAGCAAATTACTGTAGTTGGCCTTAATAAATTGGTGTATGAAGGGTTCATGCTAGTTATGTTTCACTCCGTCGACATGAATTTTAAGTCGGACCGATATCAAGCCCAGTGAAGCCACAGAAGCAATAACTTTGGCCAAACCAAAGCAGTAAATCATGGTTAGGGTTAGGGTTAAGGGAGACGCAAGTCTCTTACTATAACATCGATTGGATTTTCATCTTTCTATAAAGCGGTTCTCTCATATATAGGAGATGTTAACATTGTGAGACAATACACGCGGTGCAGTAGCACATCAGGATGTGTCCAAATGAAATATACATTCAATCATAACTCATCGCTATCTAGGCCAAAACGATATTCGAACCGGCAAATTTGGTTACAAATCCTTGGCAACAGCCTCCAAAGACTCCTTGAAAATATTACATGCGTCCGTCAATTCCGCCTCGCTGATAGTAAGGGGCGGGATGAACCTCAGCACATCGAATACCGAAGTGCTGAGAAGAAGCATGTTACGCTTCACACACTCCTGAACGATCTTTGGTGCTATTTGTGGCTGACTTTGTGCGTGTGTTGATGCAGTGTTCGAAGACTCGGATTGGAGAGCTGGGTTCGCAAACTGTACACCAACCATGAGACCAGAACCGCGAATATCCTCGATCAAACTTCCCGCCTTGGTTCCAGACGCCTTCAAGTCATGAAGGAAGGAGAAAATTTGTTTCGAGCGTGCGGCAACGTTGTCAAGAATATTCTCCTCATGGAACGCTTTAATGACTGCTGTTGCCGCAGCACATGCGACGGCGTTACCAGCATATGTTCCACCCATTGATCCAGGCTTTTGGAGGTCCATAAGCTTCTTACTGCTTGCAATTCCGGACAATGGGAAACCGTTGGCAATACCCTTGGCGAAGATGAGGATGTCTGGTCGTACTCCAGAATCTTGGACGAACCACATATTTCCTGTGCGGCCCATACCAGACTGAACTTCATCAGCAATGAGGAGTATGCCGTGCTCATCGCAAATCTGCCTTAGACCGTGCATGAATTCTGCGGGTGCAGGAACGTATCCACCCTCTCCCAGTACAGGCTCTAGGATGATAGCAGCAGTGTCCGAGGGCGAAGTTTGCTGCTGTAGGGTGAGCCTCATTTGTAGCAATGCCTGTTTGACGAGTTCTTCCTTTGGTGTATCTGCAGAAACGCCAAACTGGCTGTAGTATGGGAATGCTGAAGCAAATACACCGCCCATCAACGGTCCATGACCCTCGCCATAAATGGTTTTGGAACGTGTCATCGAGGCAGTGGCGTTTGTTCGGCCATGGTACGATCCTTGCATAACGATAATGTTGGGCTTCTTGGTTGCAGCGCGTGCCAGCTTGACGGCTGCTTCAACTGCCTCAGCTCCAGAGTTCCAGAGAAAGACGTTATCGAGAGACTGGTGCGGGAGAATCGGAATGAGCTCTTTGATGAGCGCAATTTGTGCGGCGCTGAACCCAATGTTGACTTGTGCATGGGTGATTTTGTTGCATTGTGCAGCTGCAGCCGCACTGACTTTGGGATGACAGTGACCGAGGTTTACAACGCCAATGCCGGCAGTCATATCGAGGAGCTTGACGCCCTTGTCTGTCGTGATGTATGTGCCTTTTCCATCTTCAAAGACGTGCTTGGTGAGACGGCCAATGCCTCTCGCAATGTGCTGCTCTCCAAAAGCCGCTGTGTCCATATCGGAGGATGCTGGGCGTGTTGTAGAGAATAAGCGGAGAGGCGTTCGAATGGGCTTTGCACCGACTGACAGAAGGTTACGAGGAGCTGACAAGCAAACTCTGGAAACGACGGTGGCCTTCATTATGTAGTCTTGTGGAGAAACACTAATTGAGTTTGCTTGGGATGAATGTTCTTGATAGAGGGGTCGGCTTGACACGGTTTGACGTAAGGTAAGCCAGGATCTTCCTCCGTACGTGTGGCGCTAGACGCCCTACACGCGCTCATGTGATCGCTTGGACTCTCCATATTCGTCAAAGCACTCGCAGAAGCTTCTTCGCTAACTCGTTCAAGAATTTGCAGGAGGCCCTCTTGCCAACAACTCAAATGTGTTCTTCATTCGTTTGATCAAAAGCTGACGCATGGGTCACTATGCACAGCGATAGGTTTCGGTGTTACGTAACATAGAGACGCCGCCGGCGATTAAGGCGCACATGTGTATGCTGCAACACATGGCAACCTGATAGACCATCTTAGTCTTATAATATGCCCACACCTTTGAGTAGATACATGAAATCTCAAAGGGGTATATAACGGGAATTGGTAGCCTTTGCCTTGCCAGAGACTTCTCATAGCCGTGAATCGTCAGCCTCGGGTAACCTGCCATCAAAAATGACTACAGTCATTGCCACTCTGGCTGATGCATGCCACATAGTTGCGGGATAATGCCTCCTGTGTGACTGCCAGCAATACTAGTGCTAGATATACAAGAGTGTCCTGTTGCTCGCTCCCAAGAACCCATGGTCCCTTAATTCTTCTTCTCCACATGCGATCGGCTATACGTAGTTCTAGTGGTTCGTGTTCCACGGCATCACTGGGTTGGATTTAGGTCCAGTGGCAGTTGTTGTGATTGAAAACTTGGTTTCCTTGATAATCTTCTTCTGGCTGTCTCCATCGCTATTGTCGCAATCGTCGTTGTCGCCAAGCGTCTGAAAATTATCCATGGGAATCCCGCGCGAACGTGATGGTGGTTGTAGATGGTGGGACCCTGAATTGTATGCCCTTCCTGTCGAAGCACCGGGAGTGTTCGAAACTACACTTACTCGGATACGAAGGGAGAGGAGAGGGCGAAGCGCAGGGAGAGATCCGGCTATAAGGCCGATGCCTTCTTCTGTAAGGGACCAGAAGCCAATCTTTCCAGTGCTGAACATGAATTCACCGGGATCGCTGTAGAGGGTGAGGTACTTGAGTCTGACGATTGTGGCTGTCGAGGCACTAAGCACAGTTAGATAGGGCCAAGTGGAGACCGTGCAAGGGTCTTACAAAGAAGCAAGTGCGAGCATTACTGCAACCGAAGCCTTCACCCTGGTTTTCATCTGTACATTCCATAGTAGAATGGCTGGCAAGATTGAGAGACTAAAGTCTGCCGTAATCTCGATAGCTGAGTAGAACAAACTGACGTTTGTGTTGAGTTGGAGATTGCATACACCATTGGATTCTCCCCACAAAGTGTTGATAGGATGGCCTGGTTGAATCAGTCAAACTTCCTCGTCGACCCAAATCCTCAATTACTCACAGATGTTTGCAATGCCGATACAAAACACAAGCGCAGCAACGATACAGGCTCCAATGAGAATCCATAGTCCCCACTTCAAGAAGGCTCGGGTAGCAGCAATACGTAGCAGCGCCACCGCAACACTGATCTTGATGAACATGGCACTGACGCAATAGAAATACTCAGCAATATAGAAGAGCTTCATTTTAGTTAGCCACAAGGTTGTCTTGTTGTCATTGGCGGACGCTTCGGATACTCACTTTTATTCCTATTGCCATCGTCGCCGGAGGCAGATCACGAGAAAATTGCCCAGACCCGTAAAAGCAGCATACTATACAAAGGGCGGCAGTGACTGTGAAAAGAAGCTGGAACGTCAGTGAGTAAGAGTTCGTACCAAAGGTTGGTTCTGTAGACTCACAATACCAAGCAACATCAGATAGTCGTCCATACCCCATGCTTTCCTCCATATCCTAACTCCAGCACGCAAGAGGAAAGTAACCCAGGTTAACGCCAACAATACAATAGCGCAATAGAGAAGTGCCACACCATCACCGGCCACCGGAACGGTCGCCATAACTGCAACTTGACGTAAATAAGCGTGAGAGAGACAGAGGACCGACAGAATCAAAGAAAAGGCGGATACAAGGGATTATCGAGCAGCTCCCCAGGAAATGTATCAACAAGGACAAACGGTTTGCCTCCAGTGAAATGGTACGTAAGAGCCGTTTTGATTCCATTCTGCCCCTGTCTCCACACAAGCACATGGTCAGACAAACACGCATTTCAACGTCGCTTCCAGGCCTGAGACGTTACTACGCTAAGCTTTGAAAATCTTTCCTGAAGTGAACTTGACTACTCTCAATGTGACACTCAACTCCGGCAACTACGGCAGGACCCATAGGTGTCTGACCGGCTGGATGGTAACACAACGTTGTGATCTCGACCACTGAGTCGCGCAAATTAGATGCCGTACTATGCAACCACTCCTTCGACACCACTATGATTGGCTCTTTGTATGTATGCAGCTTTTCCCCTGAGGAACCTGACCATGGCTTATCGAGTACTTCTGGAATCTTTCAGCATTTGCAATGCCATTGACAGGGGCGTTAGTATGCAGATCTTAAGTATGCCATTCGGGCCGTGGTCAGTTCCCACTCGGGCTTGGCGGTTCTGGCTCCGAAAATAGTAGTGTTCCGCCCAGGTTGCGTTCACCACCACTCCTGGGTGCACCAAGAGAAGTCCCTCCCAGTAAGCCAATATAACGCTGTAAGATATTAGGATAAAAGTGTACCGTGATTACAAACGGTCCAGGAGCAGACACGCGACACTATGGCGATGTAAAATTGCGAGCCCAATGGGTTGGCCCAGGATTCCCAGCACATGGCAAGCGGGTCGCCTCCTGCTCTGCCGTGTTAAACTGGGTCTCCGGCGGTACCGACATCCCAATTTGGACCTCTTCCTTGAAATTCTCCTACTGGTCTATCGGCTATGTTTGAGAAAACGTTTCTGGCCTCTGGGTGGCAGCAGCTTTCTTTTGCCTGCGCTTGTGCTACCCAAATCAGTCTGCTCGTGCATACACGACACGGCCCGAGTTGGTTGCATATCTTTCCTTTGATCTCCCGTTGTCTACCTTCACATCCGCTCACCTGCATCAAACGCGATTATTATCCACAATGGCTTCCTTTGAAATCAATGACTCCGACCTCACCGGCTTTCAGGGCAAAGTCGCCATCATAACGGGTAACTAGCGCTCCACCCAATCACACAGCTTGAAGCCAGACAACTAACCTCTTTGCCAGGTGGGTCTTCTGGCATTGGTCTGGCAACAGTCGAGCTGCTGGCGTCTCTAGGCGCACTAGTTGTGAGCGGCGACATTCAGCCACCACCGGCGTCAAACGCTAGCTGCCACTTTGTCCAAACCGACGTCAGAAACTGGGCAGACTTGACCAAGCTTTTCAAGGCTGCCAAGGAGAAGCATGGCAAAATCGACTTTGTTTTTGCCAATGCCGGAATTGGCCCGCGCGCAAACTACCTGGCTCTCGAGGTCGACGCAAATGGCGATCCAATTGAGCCCAACCAAGACACAATAGACATCAACTTGGACAGTGTTGTCAAAACTGTCACAATCGCTGCGCACTACCTCAAGACTCAACCAGAGGGTGGATCCATTGTCATCATGGGGTCCAGCACGGGACTGCACCCAGTTCGCGCAGTCGACTATTGTAAGCCACACCCGACTCGCCGATTCTGTCCAGATCAACCTACTGACAGCGTTGCGCAGCTACGGCCAAGGCCGGTGTTCTAGGTTTCGGCAGGAGTTTTGCGCGCCTAGTCGAAGTAGCTGGTCTACCTATTCGCGTTAACACTCTTGCCCCTTCATGGACGGCAACCCAAGTTTTGCCTGATTTGAAAAACCTACTCGCCGCCGTCTCCCATGACTGCCAGACACCTGACGTAGTAGCTCGCGCAGTTGCTTACTTGATGGCCGATAAGTCGAGGCATGGTGAGCTTATTTTCGCTAGCAACGGCAAGTACACTGAGATCCAGAACACTATTCTTGCGCCGGCGTATGAAGCCATCAAGGGCGATGATCTTAGTGATGACGCTGTCTTGGCCAAAGTCATGGCTCTGGCTGGTTAGAGAAAGTGCCAGTTGAACGCATATCATGTTACCCTTTTTTGTCCAATTCGCTTAGTTAACTACTCTTGAAGATACCAAATTTAAAAAAAAAGAAGAAAAAAAAGAACTTCGTCCGCAATCATGATTCAGTGAGACGTCCCGTTGCCGAAACCTAATCTCTTTGTTTGACACCCTAGCTGTTAATGCCTGCATCTCACGTGCGGAGAAAGAAAAAGCAATAGTCATACCCCACACATAAATGAAGATGGAAGAAACTGTACAGATCAATTCACCGCACTAACACGTGCAACACAAAGCGTTTGCTTCGCAGAGTGAAACGCCTTGTATAAACATTGTATTTCATACTACTAATAAGAGGATATATTTAAATACCCTCTTTGCCAGTTACGCTAGATACCGGCATATTCTGCAGATGCCAGCTGTCACCTGTATGTTGCAACTTTATACAAGTTCCACGCGCGTCCGACTCTACTTGGTCTAAACTTTGCATACGATTCGACGAATTCGTAGCCTCTAGTAAGACGAGCGGCGAAGACTTCCAGAGCGGTGTATCAGCTCTGCTCGATGTAACAATGGTGGAAAAGAGGAAAAGAGTTATGATCAGGTATATCGCGAGTGGGAAAGACATCCAGTAGAAGGTGACGTCGAAGAATTGCTCCTTGGTCCACTCGACGCCTTTGAGAGGGACTGCATTTTTCCCGGTACGAAGTCTGGTTCGTCATGTCAGTGCAGAACAGATGGGAAGGACTTGGGTTTGGCTTGCGCGTTGCTCATCGAGATGGCAATATTGTTCATCCTTCGTTTGAAGCCTCCTTCTACAGTTGATCCGTTACAGTACGCTGGACTGTCGCCGAGGACATCTGTAGCGATGTTAGGGGCATATTGACCGGTAAAGCCATAGTCGGTCTCGTTAGGATATATAGCAGCTGCACCAGTAAGTGATTTTGCCATCAGGTATTCCCATTCCGTGATGTCCGTATCGCCAACGCAAAACTCCTCGTTGTTCTGGCCCGTAACGCAGTACCGGTATTGGCTGCCATTTGAAACTCCTGGCTTTATTTGCCAGTCTAAGTCGATTTTCGTGTCAATTATTTCGGTCTGCATCGTCGAGTTATAGGTAGAATTCAGCGTTTGAAGACACATAGTCAAGGTGCCTTGGAAACCTTTCCAGTTAGCGGCATCATTCCTCTGACCTGTCCAATCTGTTCTTGGTTTGCCATCGTTATCGCAAGGAGGATAGTAGGCAACAAAGATGGATGAGACGTTCCGTAGGGGGTCATGATTCGCTGCACGGTAATCCGGGTCCTGCCAATCAACCTGTGTATTCATCCAAAATGTTTCAGGTAGGTTAACGTCCCCTTGAGTCCGGTCCCAGGACCCTGGGCCGATAGAATACACCTCCGAATCACCCGGATCACTGGATACAGCACTCGTCATGGTTCCGTCTGCGGAAAGGTCTTCAACGATAGAGCATACGGCAAGTGTTTGATACGGTGCCCAGGTGCAGGCTTCGGCTTGGCAGGATCCTATGACATCCGAAGGGCTTGAAACGTCATCAAGTATACCTGCAAGTATGCCTTTAGACATGTGTGGATGATCTGACTACCGTGAGCTTAACAAGAGAAGTAAGTTTCGGCACACTGACACATGATAGGAATCGTAGATTGAGAATCCATGTCGTATTCCACAAAACTTGCATTGGTGGCGTCGTTGACGTATTGTACTGAACGACTTATGATGGCACCTGTAGAAGAGAAGGTACCGTTGGTACTCCTTACTTTAATTGTAACCGACTGTTGAGTAAACGGCGAAAAGCCAAGCAGTAAGATAGTCGCGATTGCTCCGACGGATACTAGATGTCTTACGTTATGAGCTTGTTAGAAATTCCGTTGCAGACAGGCGGAGGAAGACTCACGGACGAGTGCTCAAAAGCAATATGAGACTCCCTCGAGGCCCACGAGAAGCCTCTTCGAATCTACTGATATCGAGAGTCGACCGCTCATTACGCAAATATGACCATTTAAGTTGACCGATGCAGGATGATACCGAAACAAGAAGAGCGGACTGTGTGACCTGCGAAAGAGCTGCGATAGTAGTAGCCAAGCTGAAACTAGCGGTCCAATGCCTGAGTGGCTCATCTCTGTAAAGAATGAGCAGCGTGATGATTGCACCGAGTGCAGTCGTCCCTAGCAGCCATGTGGCAAGCTCCCACTTCCAGTGTCGTAATGAAGTCGATAATGGTCTTGATAGGCGAGGCTGGTGCCTAGCATCTTCTATAGGAGTGGAAATTCGTGAGATCGGTTCTTTCTGTACTAACGAATACTCCATTGCTCAGTAGGTCGAAGATAGCTTATCGCGAAGATTGATGACTGGATGTGTAAGAAAGGACGAAGCTGACAGATGGGCGAGACTATTAAAGATGTATTCAATTCGTTCACAGAGCCTGTCAAAACTGTTGAGGCTGTGAAAATCGCCAAGCGTCCTCGGGGGCCTGATAATTTAACCTGGGGAATCGATCGCTTATCAGGATTGCCTCCATCCAGCCTCAACAGCGGTTCCATCTAGCTGACAGCCTATTAAGCGAGACGCTTAGCTTGCTAGGGAATGGCAAGCATGTCGTGCAATGTAGCTGCACTCGTGGGGGCCAGAATCAACCAACTATAGCGCATGGCCAGTAGATATTTTGGTACGATGCTGTGTTTGATCGGTTGATTCTGGCTCACCGCATTTTCTGCCACATAGAAAGGGGCTTCTCGCGGTGTTGTTTGTAGCGTGGACAGGCGCGGGCGGCAGAGGGGGTGCGGGGGGAGGGTGGTTCGATGAGGGAGCAGTAGGTGCGGCTGAGGAGGCGCGAGTGCGTGCAGTGGCGGTGGCGGGAGAAGGTTTCTCTGGTTGGTGTGGGGGGGTATTAGGGGGTGTTAGTTAAAATAGGTGCTTTAGAAATAGTCCACAGGTGCGGCCCTAAAAGCTCCTAGCACGCTGTAATCATGCATCACGGCTATTCCTCGCTTGCAAAGTTAGTTTAGTGTTGAATTTTATTAGTCATAGTCGAGGATATAGATATGCTTACTAGTCCTCCTTCCCTAATCCTATTTCCAAACCCTAAAGTATCCCTAGACCTAAATATTACCTCGTAATCAGCTCTGCCAATCTAGTATTCAAACGTGCTCCGAAATCTATTTCTTAGCCTTCTTCCCAACGCTACCCCCTACATCCCCATCCCCATCTCCATGCCCACCCCCCCTGGCCTCCTCAATTCCCCTCTTCACCCCCCGCGTACTCGGTATATTCTCCATATCAAAAAGCTCGTACCTGTCCTTCATCTTCCACGCAATAATACCCGGTAGCAAATTATCATACCTATCCTTCCTATTAAACACTTCTGGATCGTTTATCCAGATCTTTGTCAACCGCTCATCTGGCTCTTTTCCAAATTCTACGCCTGAAAGCACTTGTAGAATTGCGCGTACGGAGATGCCGTCTTCGGTGGTTTTGCTACCGAGCTGGCAGGCGTCGATGCGTTCAATGTTTGCGAGGCGCCATAGAAGGAGGGTTTTTGAGGGGACTTCGGATGTAGAGGCGAAGTCGAGGGGCGCGGTGGTTATGCCTTCTGGGTACTGCAGTATTGAGATGCGGGTAGGGCGGGCAGGATCAGGGGTCGAGGTGGGTTTGGGGGTGGTTCTGGGAGCAGTCCTGGAAGCGGGTTCAGGGGCGACCCTAGTTGAGTTGTTGAATTCGATTACTTTTGCGGCTTCTTTCTGGATTTCAAAGGCGCGGAGGTAGGCGCCGTCTTTTGTTGGCATGCCAATGTAGTTCTTGAGTTGAGAGCGGATTTCGTCACGAAGATGCTTTTTAGATACTGGGTCTGCGGCGGGGTCTTGGGGGTCAAAGAAATTGTCGTCTAGGTCTTCTTCGTCTGTTTCGATGAGGTTGATGATGCGTGCTTCTTCTTCTGCTTCGTCGTTACCGATGTCTCCTTTATCGCTGTCATTACTGTCATCTCCTCCACTAGAACCTCCACCACCACCTCCTCCTCCATTAGAGCTGCCTCTGCCGCTTCCACTATTACCACTACTGCCACCCCCACTCCTTCGCCCCCGGCCCCTCCTCCTCTTCCCACCCCCAAACTTATAATCATCAAAATCAATCCTATCCCTCATCCCCTCCCACTCCCTCCACCTCGCCGCCACTAGCGTACCCAGAACCTTGGGCCTCAAAATCCCATAAACCTCCTTTGACAGCTTCAACGGCGGCTCCTCCTCCCCCTGCAACTTCTCGCTCTTGTTTTGAATAATCTCCTGCATGTGCACCCTCGTTTTCAGCGAATCAAACGCCATGCCCTCACAGTTTCTCTTCCAATTCCCCACTTTGAAAACATTATCGAAATCCGCAAGGCGTCCCTTAGTACTCAGTACGTACTCTAGAAACGCGATGATATATGGCCCGCAACTCGCGCCTCCGTCCCTCTTGAAGGAATTGTGCTCTGATTGATTAGGAACATATTTGACGGTCTTGGCATGAAAGGAGCCATGCTCGAGTCCTAACACACGTTCGACACCGCGAACCATGGTTGCAGCCACCGCACCCAGTACAAACATATGATTGATTTTCATTCTACCGGGTTTATTCCGGCTAGGTGAAAGAGTGAGCTTTCCATCTATCCAGCGTGCAGTTTTCTTGCGCTTGTCGATGACAAGGAGACCGCAGTGGCCACCACTTGCCATATCCTTGGATGCTGCATCATTGCCTTTACTTCCGTTCCTATCCTGCGCCTGACCCATTGCCCAGGATAGCTCCATGGACTCTTCTTTCTGCAATGTCTGTTCGTTGACAGGTACAATGATCCACCTGTGTTTTCTATCCCGCACGGGTTTCAGTGGGTCGCAGTCTTGGTCCTCGTCAAACACGTACTCAGCGTCGTGACCGCCGATGTCGTATAGCATGCCGCCATGGTACATTGGTAAGATGTAGACATCGCTGCGGTGGTACTTGAGAGTTAGCAAGGCGAGGACGGTGTCGATGCTGCTGGATTCGAGCCAGTGAGCGGGATCGTCGGGATTGGTGGTGGTGATGTTTAGGTACTCGCGGACTTGGATTTGGCGGTCGAAGTCATTGTAGCTGAATTCGAGGAGGGGCTCTTTGAGCCAGGTGCGGATGTGGTCAGTGTCTGTTTGGGTGGTGGGGGTGTCTTGAGCAATTTCGGCCATTGTTGCTGGATGTTAGTGAGGTTACTTCGAGTCAAGTGAGATCTGAGGAATGGCAGAGAATATGGATAATCAGTATGATATAGGACAAAGGTGAGGATCTTTCCGAGAATAATACACGAAAGAGACGGACAAAGGGGCTTTTGTTCCTTTGTTAAAGATCAAGATGCACTTACATGTTGGACTTGTCACGTTGAAATTCTTTGTCAAGGATCTCGACACTGTTACTTGGTTGGAAAAAATTAGAATAACTAAATTTGAGAGTTGAGCGTCTTGTTTAGTCTCGTTGACACCAGACTATGTGATGTGACAAGTGACGCTCTTAACCATGATCCAAAAACCCAATATCAAAATCAAAACCTAACCCCATCTCAACACCTCAATTTATCGTAATCAGCTCGTCTCCTTCAGTCTACGTCCATCGCTCCATCCCTTTGTCCTAAACTACCACATTCTGAGGATCAGTAAAAGGATCTACGTTCTCCTCTTTCCGCTCCGCCGGCTTACGACCCCTTGCATCCGCCGCATTGTGTTGACGAGGAAGCCGGGAGCTGACCGAGAAAGCAGAGGGAGCTGGTACACTAGGGGCATATGACAAGGGATACTGTGGAGCAGCAGTAGCAACAGCAGCAGCATTTCCGCTCACACCAGTACGCCTCGAAGGAGCAAGATTCTGCAGCCCAATCGGTCGCTGTCGATCAAGTTGATTCATGCGCGCAGCGAACAGCGCCATGAAAAAATACCCAATCATCCTATCAAACCGTCAGCCCTTCTTTCTCCCCTTTTCCTACAAAACAAAAAGATTAAAACTTACGTGCAAAACCCCATAACCCCAATCACCGCCCCACTGACCACAATACTCCTCGCCCACCACCCCCAACTCTCCAACGCACGCATCACCCCATCATCCTTCCAGCAAGTCCCATACTCCGTATTCACCTCACCCCCCGGAAACGTATCCAGCAAATACATCCCCACCACATTAACCAGAAAATGCACTCCCAGCAGCCCCGCAAGCACCATGGCGCACCGATTCGTCACATGCGCAACGACAATATGCAACCGAAGATAACAAGCCAGAATAGTAAGCAGGCAAACCGGATTAAGTATAAGTGCCGCAACAATCGCACTATATATCGTCTCAAAGTCAGCCCCCCGTCTTTATTCTCCCTGTAATATGTACGCCCACCCAGAGAAAGAAAAGAAAAAAAAATTCAAAATAGGTAAAAAAAAATATGGAAATGGAAATGGGAGAAAGGGAAAAAAAAACTCACAACTTCCCCCCTGCCCCCCCAGGCTTCCCCAAACTCAACCACATAGCCCCCTCGGACCCTCCCCTCCCCTCCAACCGATCCAAATTCACAAACGTAACGGGTAACTTGCGCGTCTTGGGCACCAGGCTGAGCATATCCAACCCAGCACTGCCACCTTCGCCGGCATGTTCGTCATCCACCTCCCAGCACTCGACTTCCAGCCGCATGGCGAGCAATTTGTGAGCGAGGGCGGCGCAGAGACCGAGTTGGGTGGCGGCGAGTAAGGTGGCGAGGCAGAGCAGTTTGATGGTGGTTGGGCGCGTGGGACCTGGCCAGGAGGGCGAGGTGGCGGAGGTGAAGAAGGAGGTGCAGGTGCGGAGGGCGTGGGTGGGGGATCTGCGGACCATTTTTTTTGGAGGGGGGAGGGATAGGGATTGATGGTGTTTTATTGTTACTGGATGGAAAAAGGATTCAAGTGCGGGAATGGAGAGGTGGAGGAGAGGGATTTTGAAGGGGGGGATATGTGTGTGAGTGAGTGAGTGTGTGTTTGAGTGAGAGAAAGATGGGTTGGGAACGAGTTACGTTTACATTTTCACCATTACCCACCGCCTTTGGGTATGTTGTGGTAGTGGTGGGAATGAGGGTACCATGGTCGTTGTGCATCATCAACATTTGTGGATGTTGGGGTAAAAGGGTCTACATGTTCGAGCATCTGATTCGACTGGCCTCAATGTTGGTCAACGCTACCGGCAGGAAGAGGGCCAACAGAGTTGAATGACAATAACATGACACATGATTGAATTAGCAAAGAGGAACATATAATTAAAGGGGGGGGGGAGGTATCAACTTGAATTTCAACTACATAAAAACATTGGGCTCGGGTGTGTGGGTGTGGGGGTTGCATGTTTAGACACTAAGGGGGGAACAAAGAGGCTCATAACAGTGAAAACGAGATTTGATCGTAACCAAGAAGGCATGCCATTTTCACATGCGGCTGCGATAGGGTCGAGGAACAGGTGGCTGGAACATCCTATCCGGCAAGCGGTTCCCATACTGATCGAAGCGGTAGTCCTCCTTTTGTTCAATCCACATCTGCCGCATGTCAGCCTCGAGCTGACATCTACAGCTTGCTACCGTAGCGGGGAGGGTAGCCAGCCTTGTAACCACTCACCTCGCGTTCGGCGTACTTCCTGTCCAACGGCACTGGTTGCGGATTTAGTATTTCTTCGTCGCCAAAGCCTGGATCTCCTTTGAACCTACGGGCGTAGTGGGCTGCGCCAATAGGCTGAGGGGCACCGTATTCGGCATACTGTGCTCCGTAGGGGCCGTACTGACCTGGGCGTTGGTTGCGGGCGCTGCTTTGGTGCCAAGTTTCGCGCTCGGGAAGACGTTCCTCAAAGGCTTCGGCAGGACGACCTAGGGGCTCCGGGTACAGGCGGTTCTGCTGGTACGTCTCGCGCGTCTCAATGGGATACTGGGAACGGTAGTGGTCCTGCTGCTCGAAGCGCTCGTCGTAGTGGGACTCGTAGCGGGGCTCACGGCCGTGGTGTTCCCAGTGGGCATCGTGGTGGTGGTGGGGAGGAGGGGGAGGACCACGGCCACGGTCATCGTAGTACTGGGGGCCACGCTCGCGTTCATCGACATAGACCTCACGGTGTTCCTGGTAGTGGGCAGGCGGCTGGTGGTCGCGCTCAACCCAGACATCGCGGTGTTCCTCAACGCGCCTGGGAGCACCGGCATCGCGCTCAATGTAGATGTCCCGGTCAATGTGCGTCGTATGGGTAGTGTGGTGGCCAGGAGCAGGAGCAGGAGCATGGGCGGGAGCAGGAGGGGGAGGAGGGGGAGCCTCTTGATGAATCTCAATGTCGATGTGCGTCTCCTCCTTCTTCTCCTTCTTGTCCTTCTTGGGCTTGTGGGGCTCCTCAATGGGCTCCAGAGTGGTCAAGTAGCCGAGGACCTCGCGGAGACTGTTGTGGGCAACTACGAGTTCCTTTTCCCTGTTCTCGAGCTTTTCCTTCTCGCTGATGAGCCAGTAAACACGGTGCCTCATGCCAACACGGCGGCCGTCCTCAATGTCGCCAGCGACGCGCTCGGTGTGAGGGGCAATGTTCTCGAGGGCGCCGCGCACATCGCGCATGCAGCCGTAGACCCATTTGGACTTTTCGTGGTTGGCCTCGAGGATGTCGTGGATTTCGCGGACCGAGAGCAGACGGCGCACCTCTTCGAGATCAGAGCGGACGCGACCGATGATGCGCACGTAGACGGCGTTGGAGGGGCCGACATCACGAACGCGCTTGGCCTTTGTGAGGAACTCGGCGAGCTTGTAGGCGCCTCCGAGAGCGGTGGCAGCCGCGCCGAGGGTGATGAGCTCTCCTTTGGCCATGGCGAACAGCAGGACAGGGCGAGGAAGCTGCCGGGTTGGTGAGGTGGGAGATCAATGGAGTGAAGGAGTGCCTGCGTCTCTGCGGGTACCTAGCGCCAGCATGCCGCGCAGGTTCAACCGGCAGCAAGAAGTGGGGATGGGCGCTTTGGTGCGTGTGTGTGGTTGTGGTGGTGGAGGTTGGGGGAGTGTCAGTTCAGCTCAGCTCAGGGCAGGGCAGGGCAGGCCAGCTCTGACAGGGGCCGCATGCTGGAGCTTGGGGGGGCTGGGGCTCTAGGCTGCTTGTGGCCATGGCCGCCTGCACCTCGTCACCCAGAGCGACCAGCCCGAGGTCCAACCACCAGCCTTGCGCCTGCTGTCCACCCCCACCGAACCCCTCGCCCTCCCTCCTCTGCCCCCGGCGGCGCCACGGCCACTGCCTGCGGCCAGCGCGCGCCCCGGCCTGCCCGGGCTCGTTAATTGACGCGTTCAAGCCGGTGATTTGGTGTGGTGGCCGTTGTTATACGAGCATCGCTTGCTGTTGTTGTTGTTGTTATTGTTGACGCATCCTCCACCTCGTCCTGGCTGGCTGATACACGCGCTTGGATCATCCCCGTTGCACCTGTCCTGTCAGCGCTCCACCCTGACAATGACAACACAACACTACCCAGCGCCAAAACCTTGATTTCTGCTATCTGCCGTACTTTGCAACAAATGCCCGAACCTTGGCGTCGCCCAGGCTTAGCTCGCTGCCCTCTGCCTCGAGCAGCTCCCGGTCCTTGTCCTCGAGCTCCGCCTCCATCTTCTTCACCTGTGCATCCACCTTGCCATTGGTCAGCCTGATCGTCCCGAACGGCGCGTGCTTGTACAGAGCGGCCATGATGACAACCATGTCCCCGTCGGCCTTGCTCGACCGTTCGGCCAGCTTCTCGTGCGTGCCGCTTGCCGACGATTCATAGTGTTCCTGCAGCTTCTTGCCGCGTTCCATCTGAGCCTGCATCAGCGAGTCCTGCAGGCTCTCAATCTTGTCGTGGTTGAACGAGACGCCGGCGTGTCGAAGCGCATCTTGCAGCGCTACCGGCAGATCGAGTGCATTGTTGGGCCTGAGCTTGACCACGGGCGTGAAGGCTGCCACGGACGACTTTGCTCGTTTGTGTGCAGGCGTCGGTGCAGGTGCCACGTCCATGTCGGGCATGCGTTTCGCTGCTGCAGCCTGTACATGTGCCAGTGCCTGCTGGAATTCGTCGTCTTGTTTGGTCTTTGCAGCGAGCGTGTCCAGCCGCCTGCCCATGTATTCAAGCGTGGACAAGACCTGCCACCGTTAGTGATTCCCAGCCACTGCCCACAACGGCACTTACGTAGTTGAGCCATGCAGTTCGCGCCTGCCTCATATCCCTGTCCTTGCCTTCCTTGACATCCGCCATTGGCTTGCGAATCTCGTGCTCAACAACCATTGCAGCAACAGAAGCAATTTCCGAATGCAGTTCCTCCAGTTCTGCTTGCAACGCTGCTTTCCTTTCCTTGAGCTCGGCCTCTGCTTCATCAAAAGTCCCGTTTGGCCCACCTCCAGCGGCGTGCGTCAGGTAGATGGTGTCTACGCGCGCCTTGATTTCGGCAGTGCGAAAGGAAATAATCGCCTTGCACCACTGCTCAATCGACTTTTCGTCTTCGCTGACTTCTGGCTCCGTCATAATCTGGGACACTAATCCCGGCAGCTTGCTCAGAATTTGGTCGTCGGACGCAAAGCGTTCCGAGAGGTAGCTCTTCAGCGCACACTTGTCGGCCTCGCTCTCTCGCTGTGCATCCGCCAACTGCTCAGTAATTGATGTAGCAACATCGTCAACCTGCACTGGTCAGTACTCGGTCGCTTCTCCTCGAGTGCCAGCTTACCGAAACATCCAGCCTTGCCTTCTCTTGACCCTCTTTCCTCTTCCTCTCGTTTCGTGCATGTTCAACATCCAGATTAGGCTTGTCAAGAGCCTTTAGCTTCATCAACGCATCCTTTTGCGCCTCAAGCACCTTGCACTGCGCTTCAATTGCGCTCGTCGAGCTCTGCAGAGATTCGATAGCTGAGGCGATTTCGTGGTCCAGGATGGGTCTCGAGGGTCCACCCTCACCCTCATACTGATGCAATAGTCCCTTTTTCTTCAATGTCTGGTACCTAGATTTCAAATCAGTAAATAATGCTTACATTGATTGTAACACATACAGCTCCAACTCCTCCCTCGTCAGTAAAGTGTCTTGATGTAGGTATTCCTCGATCCATGCTGCAGCTTTGTGATTTGTATCCGCATCTTCGAAGCTCAGCAGGATCTTGTCCAAATCGACATTTAGACCTCTTTCCTCTACTACGTTTAGCAGGTGGTGAGCAGCTTGTTCCTCCATGGCTCTATGTTGTGTAGTGCTGGTCGTTGTGTGACAAGGTGCGAAAGCAGTTAGGCCGGCTACGTTGGATACGGCCGACGGAAGTGACCAGTTGCGCAGTCGCGTTTTCGAGATTTCGACGCGCTGAATGACCGCATTCTAAATGTGCTAAAGAGACATTTCCAAACAACTCATACCAAACCCAACCTACTCGACTTCTAGTCACAATGACTGCCACAACCATTGACCCAGAAACAAGTCCCCAAACCCAAAAAGACACCGAAACTCAAAATCCCCCTCCACCGCCAACCAGCAACCCCGCGCACGAAGAGCACCAATACCTCTCCCTCATCCGCGACATTCTCCAAAATGGCGAGCACCGTCCCGACCGCACCGGCACCGGAACCTATGCCATCCCATTTCCCGCCCAAATGAAATTCGCCCTCTCACGCCCCTCTGCCGACCCCACTCAACCACCCACACTCATCCTGCCCCTCCTCACCACCAAGCGCGTCTTCCTCCGCGCCGTCATCGGCGAGCTCCTGTGGTTCATATCCGGCAGCACACACAGCAAGCCGCTTTCAGACGCCGGCATCAAGATCTGGGACGGCAACGGCAGCCGCGCCTACCTCGACAGCGTCAACCTCTCACACTACGAAGAAGGCGAGCTCGGCCCCGTCTACGGCTTCCAATGGCGCCACTTTGGCGCCGACTACAAAGGCCACGCCCACGACTACACCGGCCAAGGCGTCGATCAGCTGGCCGAAATCATTGACAAACTCAAAAACAAACCCTACGACCGCAGAATCATCCTCAGCGCCTGGAACCCCGCCGATATCAAGAAAATGGCTCTCCCGCCTTGCCACATGTTTGCCCAGTTCTACGTCAGTTTCCCCGGCCACAAGCAAGGCGACGCGCGGCCCAGGGGCGTCCTGCATTCGCTGCTGTACCAGCGCTCGTGCGATATGGGACTCGGTGTCCCGTTCAATATCGCTTCCTATGCCCTGCTGACGCATATGCTCGCCCATGTGTGCGATTTGACACCGGGAACTTTTACCCATACCATGGGCGATGCCCATGTCTATCTCGATCATGTCGACGCGCTCAAGGTGCAGATTGAGCGCGAGCCGCGAGAATTTCCCCAACTGAGCATCAACAGGGACGTCGGCGGCAGTATAGATGGCTGGCTGGAAACCGACTTCGAGGTTGTAGGGTATAAGCCACATGCCAGTCTTGCTATGAAGATGAGTGTTTAGATGAATGCGCCATTTTGGAGAGGCCTTGCGTGAAACTAACTACTTGTTTTGGTTATAGATGGTTATATAGATATGAATTATGCAATTGACGTTAAATCTTCTGTTCTCTTTACTCTTCTTCTTCTTCAAACAAGTTTATCCTCACCTTCACTTCGTACAAAATGCATATATACAAGCGTACATATAAAAAAACATGGCCAAACGCTTCACAAATGCCAGCAACAAAAAAATCATCAAGGTATCGTGTCCCCCCCCCACTTTCTCTCTCTTTCTCCCTTTCCCTCCAATCAAAATAAAATAAAATAATCCCTAGGACTATTACATGAATCATAAAAAAAAAACCCGGTCCCCGAGTCCGACTAGCTAGGCAACTCCTGCGCCTCGCCGGCATTATGCGCATACTTGACACTCCCGGGTAACTCATTCGTCTGACCAGGGGTATAGATCTCGGCCCTGTCACTCTGGACGGGTGCATCATGGCGATAATAACTCGACGACTCGGCATCATGGACAGGTACGGAACCGTAACCCGCCGTCTGTGTGTCTTTCTCGGGCACACCGGCCTTTGTGGCTTTGCGCTTGCGCCACCAGAAGGCGGCGAAGATGAGGGCGGCGAGGACGACGATGCCGCCGACGACGGGGCCGGCGATCCAGGCTTTGCTGGTGCTTCCGCTCGAGGAAGAGGATGACGAGGAGGAGTTGGGAGAAGACGAGTTGGAGGGCGAGGACGAGGTCATGTCGCTGTCGGATAGGACGGCGTAGGTGGAGGTGGAGAGGTCCGAGATTATGCTCGAGGTGTTTTGGAGATAGCAGTTGTTGTATCCGCTGTCGAGCGTGGATGAGAACAGGACGGCTTTACATCCTTTGTCGCTTGCGGCGCAGGCATCCATGCAAGTAGTCATGTTGTGGGCGTGGAGGTTCGTAATGTTACGTCCTGGATTCGTCTTTCCGCAGTGGATGTCGAAGCGCGGTTTGGTACCACCAGCGGCTTGATATGTGTTTTGCTCCGGGCACTTGGTGTCTGGGATGTCGAATTCGACAATTTCAGCCGCGTGGATGACGCCTTGCTCTGCGGTGGGGCTGATGAATTTGGGCGAATTGCCGTATTTGGGCTTGCAGTTTGCGTAGCCAGCTGTGAGATCTGGGTTCCAGGATACGGCGCGGCAGAGGGGGTGCAGGCCGACGCAGATTTCGAGGCATTCTTCGAGGGTTGCGGTGTGGTAGAAGGCGCGGTAGTCCGGGTCGAAACAGTCGAATTCCTCGAAACAACGTGGTGGCTCGTCGATTACTTTGCCGCAGTGTGTCGTGTATGTTATGCCCTCGACGCCCGGGAGAGGATTGTCCGACAAGTCTGCATTCGGGCACTTTGTGTCGAAGCCTTTCATCTGGTTCCTGTCTATGAGAAGGCCAGTTATTGCTTCTGGTGCAGGTGTAAGGGCTTCGGTGGAGACATTGCTCGTTTTCAGCCAGCAGTGACCGCCGGGTACAGTCCAGGTGATACCGTAACACGCATCGCCTGAGAAACGCGAGCAGTGTTCCATACATTCATCCCAAGTACCAGTGTAAAACCAGACACCAGCCCCGGTTGTTTCTCTAACCGCATCTACTGTCTGTCAGCTAAAGGTTCTGTTGAAAGGTATGGTACATTCTGGTGCTCACCGCTAAAAGGAGCATTCTGCTGGCAGTATAGCTTGAACGCGAGTCCATTCTTCGTTGTGTACTCTTCTTCGCAGTTTTGAATGGTGTCTGCGTCTGCGTCTTGCCGTATTGTGAGGTCGCGGGGGAGAAGGGCATCTGCCTGTGTGGAAGCTGGTAGCGCGTCAGTAAGTATGCGAATTGTTTGCCAAAAAATTCTAACATGAATCCCACGTACGTGTAGGAGTCGCAATGACGGCGCTTGCACATGCGAGCGCCAGTAAGCTCTGTCTCGCTAGGAGCAACATGTCGTAAAGATCTGACTTGTTGTAGCGTCCTCGACGACGACGACGACGACGACGACGACGATGGTATCGAGAGGTTGAGACAGCGAAATACCAAACCACGCGCAATCGCGAGCCTGGAGACGGTTCGAAAGATAGTTTTACAGACACTACACCAAGAGGAAGGCAGTGCTGCCTCGTCCAAGCAGCACCATGACAGTCAGGCCCGTTAGGCGTCCATTGGTGGGTACAACGCCCATAATGGCCCCCAAATCAGAGCCGCCATCGTCCCGACACTGCCCCCAAATTTACATTGCAACTGATTAGCCCTTACTCATGCGCAGCAGTCTCAGCCAATACCTTGTGCAGGATGTCGAGTCTTCCGATCTGGCGCTGTTGAGTTCGCAACCTGCATCGCCCTATTGCATCCTCGTCGTCCCTGAGCTTGAACATGTTGGCTACGGCTTGTTCCGAGATGCTGTCATTCGTTTCCCTCCTCTTGTTTTTCCATAGCTCTGTCTGTTTTTCCTCAAGATTTGCACACTCAGACGCGAAAATGACCAGGGTTTTGCCGTGTGCATATCCTGTCCGTTCTAGGGAGATTGGTGTGGTGCTGCCAAGACACGCTGCCAAGACACGCTGGCAGGCGGAGCAGTGCTATCCTTGTCGTCCACCTCAACGAGGACTCGGAATACTAGAGCTGCACGATAGCCGTGGTCCGATCACTCTCCCCGTCGCCTTATTCCCGTGCTAAGCATATTGGAAGGTTGCGCGATGAGGCTTCAACTACAGAAATGATCAAATCACGTGCATGCGGGCAACCACAACACCTTTTAGGTGCTCGCCATGGCTGGTGTACACAAATACTACTCTAAATTGACAACAAAGGGTTGGATTACCACGCTGCTTTTGCAGACAACGACTTGGTATCTAATGCATCCTGAACGCCCGCCATTATTTTTCCCAGCCTGCAAACCAATAATGCAACAACGCTGAACATTGCAAGTCTGCTTATCTGTGGCTGGTCTTTCCAATACCACGCTTGCCGGCAGTCTAAATTGTTGTTAGTGGATGCTTGTGTACTTCTAGATAAATCACAACTTACCAAGTGCTTGATCAGAGAGCCAGTTTGGTGTCTGTCGGCCTCACCCTGTCTGGCCATCCTGTTCATCTTCTTCTGTGACAACTTGGCCAGCTTTTCCGCCTTTGAAGCAGCCTCAGCATCCGTAACACCATCGTTCCTCCTGTTGGTACTCTGACTGCGACCACGGCTCTTCGCACGCTCAAGGGCCGACTTGGGTGTATCGATATCCATGGCATCGCCGGGAGCCTCTGATCGTGAACGAGCCAAGCTGCGTCCTCGTGCTTCTGCTTGAGCCTGTGCACGCTCGACAACCTTTGTAGTATCGTATCCAAGGCTCTCGAGGTGCGATTCCATTTGCGACATTTGCTTCGCCTTCTTTGTTCTGGGAATAACAGCCCTATTCTTCAAACTCTTGCGCATCTTGGCTTCGTTCCTGATAAGTTGCCTCTTCTCGCGGATCAGCTCTGCCTTGTACCGGAAGTCTGCCTCCTCTGCGTCTTCAAGATCGTCATCCGAGTCGTAGAAACCCTCCTCCTCCAACTTTTCTTCTTCAGCCTCAAGTGCAGCAAGCTTAGCCTCAATGTCAGGGTCAATGAAGTCGTAGACGTTCTGGCCCTTGAACACCTCTGGAATACGGTCGTGTTTCCATTCATCATTCTCAAGAAGATAGTTCTTGCGAAGATCAATGTTGTACACACCAGCTCCGCCATTCTCCTCTTCCAGATCACGCTCGAGGATTGGCCTATCAGGATCATCCTTGTCGTACTTCTTCTTGTTCAGTGCTGCTTCTGGGATAAAAGTCTCACGGGTGACACCACCCAGTGGCTGAGCAACGTGGATTCGGCGCAGCAGTTCACCAAGACGGCCAGATGGCTCACCAGCGCTGTTGGTTCCAGCTTTGAGCTTCTCTGCGTTACGAGCAGCAATCAAACGATCGCAGACTGCGTTTCGCACGGCCATGACACCCTCGGTAGTACTGCAAGAAAGCTCCAGCATCTCTACCTCGCCAGACTTGAGCATGCCCTGTAGTTGAGCCTGTGTTTCCGCATCAAGCTGGTCGGGACGCATGAGATCGATCTTGTTGATGACAATGGAGATGAGCTTGTTGGCGAACAGAGGCTTGATGTTGTTAAAAAGGGCGATCTGCGAAGCAACCGAGTAACCACACTGCTCACTGAGATCCATAAAGTAGAGAATATGGGCGCGGAGGTGAGCAATGGCGCAGATGGACTGATGTTCGATAGTGTTCATCTCCTCAAGCGCATGGTCCAGAATACCAGGAGTGTCAACTGCCTGGAAGCGAAGCATCTTGTAATCGAAATGACCGACATACAAGCTCTTGGTAGTGAAAGCATATGGCTGAACCTCGACATCGGCCCTGGAAATGGACTTCAAGAAGGACGACTTGCCGACGTTGGGAAATCCGGAAATGACAAGTGTGCGGGTGTTGGGGTCGATCGAGGGAAGACGACCCAAATGCTGCCTAACTTGCTCGAGGTAGACAAGAGGATCCTTCAATCGCTTGCAGATTGTAGCCATACGACCAAGCGCAGCTCGCTTGAGCTGCTTGCACTGGAAAAGAGACTGGCCATATTTGAGAAGACGCACATAGTCACGCGCAACCGTCTCAATCAGCGACTTTGCAGTCGAGAGCTGACCAAGAGCAATACGGAAGTGGTCTGCATCGTAGAGGGTGTTCAAGAGGTCGCGGTGGAACGGGTGGATGTCCTGCAGGCGCGGGAATGCGTCGATAGTGGTGGTGAGGCGCTCGACGAATGTCTCGGATGTGAATTTAACCTTTCGCGTGTAGAAGGCTCGAATTCTGCTAATCTTGAAACCCGCACGGATCTGGGTAGGCAGCCTGAGGAATTTTTTGTCAGCTGTCTGTTCTCAGGTGTAGTACGTAGCTGGCGCCTTGAAAGCGCAAATCTCGGCGTATGGGCGTGGTTTGCGCAGATGCAGATGAGATGGGTAGCCTACCTCCTCTGGGTCCTGGACAGCACAATGTCCAGGAACTCCTGGCTCGTAGGCACGGCGGGGATATCCTTCCACTGGGTCTTCATTTTGGCGACTGCGGGTTTGTTGGGGTTGTGGACGCGGTCTGCGCTTCGAGAGGGAAGGGCTGGCAAAAAGTTCGAGGCGCTACCTATCGATACCAAAAAATATTCCCCACCGCCAAGCGGCAGTTCGCCTCATGTGCGCTAGTGCCGCATTGAGACGCCCACCAACCATTGCGCCCCTAGAGACCCTGATTGCCATGTTGAATATACAAGGATCTGACACAGTTATACTATATATCACGGTCAAATTTAATCTATATTATCATTATTCAGTCGAAGACCTGGAAGTGGGCATCTACAGGATTCTTCCCGTTGATGGTTAGAACATCTTGAGGACATGCGCTCATCACCACAACGACATCCCGCAGCGCCTCCAGAACTACATAGTCGCCTGGCTTCGTCTTTGGTTCTTCAAAGCTTACACCCCGCTTTGCGCCCTCTCCCTCTTGTGTGATGGGAATATTCATGAACAAGTTGAAAGGATCAGGCACCCTGCTTCCCAACTTCCCCTGTAACAGTTCCAGAGCCTCTTTCTCTTCAGCTGAAAGGGATGAGGAGATAGAAAGAGAGTGCAAGGCATCCCAGAAGTTGTCTGTACAGCTTTCGTGGTATCCATTGACGCCCAGCTCACTGTACCGCCACCTATCGCATGCCGCAATCAGAGTATCATGCACACCAGGGCTTGTGTCTTCGACCAGTTTTACCATTGGCGCCCTTTTCTGACTGACCATCACATCACCTACTTCAGGCGTAATTTTCAGCAACGTTGCGCGGCAGTGGCACATTGACATGTATTCGGGCGCACTAGCAGCGGCATTGGCTGCATGCGAGTATTTGGAGGGAGAGTCGGTGGTTGCATTTGGGTAGAGTGCTGCTTCGACCTTGGAAGATGCGGTTGTGAGGGCTGAAGAGGGGAGTGCGAGTGCCCAGGTGTCGACTACTTGGTTTCCGTAGGTATTTGTTATCTTGATCTTCTTGCCGGCTTTGATTACCGTGGCTGCTCCACGGCGGGCAGGGACGATCTGGAATGGAGGAGACATAACAGATGCTTGACTTGTAGTTTCTGGAATTGTTTGACCTTGGACAAAAAAAAACTTTGGAAAGTTAGATATGAGCAAGGGACTGTAGTATGGAAATGTCTGAGATATATGTTCATGTCTACCCCACTTGTGTTGCCATATCATATGCCGTGGGACGGGAAGATAGGAGGATAGGCTGCGGGGCCGCAATGCTTCACTGAACATATCAGTTCAAGATAAGCCGATTTGTCACAGCCTCAGGCAAGATTGACTATTCTGTGTATTGATACCATTTTGCGGGAAGCGCGTGTATCCAACAGAAGTATACTATGAAGTCACTCTCGGAGATGCGACAAAGCGTTCAATGTATTGGTAAGCGCAGAGATTGATCCAGTATACATATTAGCGGACAAGCAGTCGTCCAAAGGTAGTATTGCTGGGGTTTGCGCTGTGTTGAACAGGGTGTAGTAGGTCGTGGCTTGAAGGTACCCAAACCATCACGTGTCAGGGACGTGGCCTGGGTCATCCTTCGAACGGCCACCCTAGCATTCCCGAGCGCCGCAACCCAAATTATCCCCACCACAGCTCGACTCCTTTACCGCCAACCTAAATCGTTTCTGCCCAGTATTCACCATGGCTGCCCTCGCGACTAAAACCCAGTCGCAAAACATCTTTACCAAATTGAAGTCAAAGCCCGCCAACAAAGTACGTATTCCCACCAGCCAGCGCTTCCAACGACTCCTAATGCATGTCCAGATATGCTTCGACTGCGGCGCAAAGAACCCAACATGGAGCTCTGTGCCCTTTGGCATTTATCTCTGCCTCGACTGCTCGTCCAACCACCGTAACATGGGTGTCCATATCTCATTCGTTCGTTCAACCAACCTCGACAGTACGTCTTCCCCTGGGTCCTGCGGGTGCTTGAAGCAAGGATACATATTGACCAAGGACAGTCTGGCAATGGGACCAACTGCGAATCATGAAGGTCGGTGGCAACGAGAGCGCGACCAAGTATTTCCAATCGCACGGAGGTTCCGCTGCGCTCGCAAGCAAAGACCACAAAGCCAAATACACTAGCAATGCCGCCAACAAGTACAAGGAGGAGCTGGCTCGGCGCTGCGCTGCAGACGCCAAGTTGTAGGTCTATGTCGAATTGTTCAGCGGCTTAAACTAACTATGTTATGCCAGGTATCCTAACGAAGTTGTAATCACTGATGTCGTTGAGCCTGGTAGCGACGGTACTAACACCCCAGCTGGTGAAGACGATGACTTCTTTTCCTCTTGGGATAAGCCGACAATCAAGCGTCCCTCAAACCCACCCTCGCGTACCGGTACACCTAAGGCTGCATCACCTTTCCTCAAGCCTAGCGCCAACGGCACGGATCGCCCGAAATCGCCCCTTGCTGGCAGCTCTGAAACCGCTACGCCTGCAGCAAAGCCTGCAGCAGTACGAAAGACTGCCGGAGGCGCTGCACCGAAGAAGAACATTTTGGGTGCGAAGAAAAAGGGTCTTGGTGCAAAGAAGGTGGTCGCTGCCGATGGCGGACTCGACTTTGAAGAGGCGGAGCGAAAGGCTCGTGAAGAGGCAGAGCGCATCGAGAAGTTGGGCTACGACCCTGACGCTGAGGCCGCAGAGGTCGCTGCAGCCACCAAGTCTAAGGGCTCTGAAGCATCTATCATCGCACCTACTCCCGTATCACCGCCGCGTGGCGGCTTCGGCTCGACCTCCAAGCCTGAGCGCTCAAGTCAGGATATGGAACGGCTAGGTATGGGTGTTCAGCGTCTAGGATTCGGACAAGTAGGCGCTGCAAAGAAGCCTGCTGCTCAGAAGAAGATGGGAGGTTTCGGCAGCGTAGGCAAGCCTGCTCAAGATGATGATGAGAAGTATGCGCGAGAGAAGTTTGGTACACAAAAGGGTATCTCGAGTGATGAATTCTTTGGCCGCAATGCGTACGATCCTTCAGCCACTGCACAAGCCAAGGAGAGGTTACAAGGTAAGTGCAGCTTTGCGAGATTGGATATTGAGAATCTGTTTTCTAACTCATCTTGCAGGCTTTGAAGGCGCAAGCGCGATTTCATCCAACGCATACTTTGGCCGCCCTGAGGACGACGCTGCAGAGGAGGACTATGGTGATCTGGAGACTGCTGCCAAGGACTTTGTCCGCAAGTTTGGCCTGACAGCTGGTGATGACCTCGAAAATCTGACCAACATGCTCGGCGAGGGTGCGACGAGGTTGCAAGGAGCCGTCCGGAACTACCTCAACTCGTAGAATAGGCGTTGAAATGGTTTAATCGGGGCATTCTCAGTGGGTGTTCGAGGAGTCAGGTGGACACATTCGATACCATACAGATCACGCACATTGTATGGCAGCAGAAACATAGTCTCGGCGCATGTTGCAAAAGAAGGTGGGGGGTCTGGGAGAGGCGAAGACCATGAGTTGGCGGGGTTTACTTGGATTCGACTGTGTACGTATTGATCTTTTCCGCGCTGAAGATGGTTGCAAGGGGTTTGCCCAAGCGGTGTTTTGGGAGTACACATAAAGTAACGTTGGAAATCTTGATTGGAAATCTGAATCATCTTGACCATTCCCTGTTCTCATTACTAAGAACTAGATCGTGCAGAAAATAACACACCTGAGCGCCATGTATGTGCGAAAAAAAAACCCCCATTAATAACACCATTCACTTCAGCTAAACACTGCCAAAAGAAATATCAGTCAATCAATCATCCCTGTCCCCCCACACATCCGCCTCCTCCCTAGCCACAGCATCCAAATCAATAAACACTCCCTTCCCACTTTCCTTTCCTACCCTTCCGTCTTCCTCGTCACTACTACTACCCTCGTGTCCCTGCCTCGCCTCCTCTCGACTCATAGAACCCCACCCCGCATCTTCATCTTCGTCATCGTCTTTCGCGAAACCAGGGGATACGGGGATGAAGTCGTCCATGAGATTACTCGGCAGACCGGCTGGCACGGGGCGTTTGGAAGAGGACGTGGGTGGGGATGGAGTTAGGGGCATCATTGCCATTTCTGGGGGTTGGGATAGGTGGGGTTCTGTAGGGCTACTGGGTGGTGGTGTTGAGGCGCGGGGTTGATGGTGTACTGGGGGGTCGGGTTGCGATATGCTGGACATCTCGGGTTGGGAGTCTTTGCCGTGCTTGGATGATGGGCGTTGTTCTTGTCGTGAGCTGGATTGGACAGCGGGCTGGGTGTCGATGCTCTGGGTTGCGGGGAGTTTGGCGTGGTGCTCCTGCTGATGTTGCTGGGAGAAGGGGAAGATAGAGAAAAGGCTGGAGCTGAGGCTGTGGCGGTTTGGTGCGTTTGGTCTTTGTTCCTTTTTGAGTTCTTCTTGTCGTGGGTTTGGTGCAGTTGGAGGAGGTGCGGAGACGGAATGCGAGTGTGAAGGAACTCTTCGGATGGCGGCAGGGCTAGGGGGTTTGGTGATGGTTGTCTCGGGTAAGGATGCCTCGCACATCTCACAAGCGTGGAGACTGGGGTCGTTGAGGAACGTGCAGCGTGGGCATTGCTTCTTGAGCTCTGGTGTTGATGGGCGTGGCGGCTCCGGGTTCTGGCCTGCTCGCTGTGGCCTAGGTGGTTGAGGCGGTGCTGCTGGCTCGGATTCTGTAGGCATCTGGTATCCTGGACTATATCTCTGTCTGGCTCTCGAATTGGATGGCGCTGTATCTCGTCTCTTGTTCCTGGAAGAAGCATCTCCATTTGCTACAGGGCCTGGACTAGGATCAATAGAGACTACGACCTGCACATCTCTCTTTGTCCCACACTTCATGCACTGACACTGCCGCGTCACAGTCTTCGTATATGTATCAGTAACCTCAGAAGGCGCGTTAAATCTGATTTCAAACTTTCCGGGCTCTCCGAAACCCGCAGCACCCTGGTCCTGCCTCTGCCAGTTCTTCGCATTTGAGTAGCCTGCTCCTTTTGCGACAATGGGGATAATTGGGTCCACGTTTCCGAATACCAAATGATCTACAAATGGTAGAAGCATCAGGGTTCCGCTGCTTTTGATGTGGCGATCGATTTCGTCGCGCACTTTGAAATCGTCCAACGAGTGCAGAACTCGGAAATACTTGTTGAACATGTCGCCATACCATTGTCGAACCTGGACGCCCTGCTGCAACAACTCTTTTGCAATGGTTCGCGGTGCAGGGCTGGGCCAAAGTGCATCAATCAGATGTTTCTCCTTCAAGGCCTTGCGGACCATCAAATCTAGCCTGGCACATTCATACAGTTTCTTCTCCAATCTTTCATGCAATTCATACTTGGCGAACCTAATCACCAAACCTCTCACGAATCCAGCATCAAGATTCCATTTTCTTGTGAAGTAATCCAGTGACTCTAGATCTTTCTGCGCCTGTGCGTTGGCAGGCCGGACCATGAGTGGGGCGAGCTCATGGCCCATAGATATCCATCGGTCGGGCTGGTGCGGGAGGGCGGTTGCAGTAGACCAGAAAGATCGGATTGGGTAATATTCAGCCTTGAAATAATTGTAGATAAAGTCCAGAAAATCCGACTCTGTAAGTGGCAATGCTGCGTGGCCGCGGGGAAAGTCCATCGTAGTAGTTGGTAGTCCAGCTGGTGGCGAGAGCCTGAATGGGTGTGACGAGTATCGAGGTCACGAATTTGGAGCTTCAAGCACTGTAGCTTTAGAAGCGCTTCGTAACAGTAATAAATCTAATTCAGAATATTGACATGGGTGTGTACGGGGTTCCGGTTGCAGTGCTGGCGGACCACAATATGTGAGTAATGTTGCTGCCTGGGTAGAATGGAGAAGGAAACACGTACAGTAGCCACACGAGTTAAGCAGAGTGACGGTGCTGATTTACAGCTGCGCCACAGCATGTGACGATGTTATATGCGCTAGACGTGGTGCAGAAAGCTTTGATGCACATTCATGCTCTTGTGACGGGCTTCCTGGGGTGTACGTCATTACTGTGGCGGTGGCGGTGCCCGACCCTTCTTCCGCAGCACGCATGCCTGGTTCTCGAAGCTCGACAACTCTCATAGCCAGTCACGACCTGGAGGTTCAAAATTTCGATAACAACTTTCCTATGTGGTAGCTTTTTTTGAATGAGTTATCTAGTGGCGTGCTGTGTGCTTATCATGTGTACATGGAAATACAGGATAGGCATGGTAGGTAGGGCTCACCATATCTGAACATTCGTTACGAACGGGAGATATCCCTATTTTTAACCTTCATTTCATCAACTAGAGTGCTGAAAATACTTCAGAGTCGTCATTACCTGGGAAGTGTATAGGATTGCGCCATTAGACGTTTTGGCCAAGGAATTAAACGCCTAGGCTGGTAGAGTCAAAGACACGGTTAAAAAAGACAGAGTTTCCAAACTCCATCAAATGGGATAGGATGCCGCTTCCGTTCAATACTAACTCTATTTGAAGGTGGTAGCATGGTGGCTTGACGAAAATATGTGCAAGGGGAACTGGGATTAAGGGGCCAGCAAGGGATTGCTCAATTGGGGCTTATCTCACAGATATGTGTTCGCGATGAACCTATCAAGGTTTCTCCAAGGAGAAAAGGCCTTAAATTTCGGCTATTGATCTCGCCTATTTCTGAGATACAAGCGTTCGCCGGAAATGTCCCGTCTCTCCGCAACGTGGAGAATACAGGAATCAGACCACGAGATCTCGACAACCCCATGCCGCTTTGCTGCAAATAAGTCAGCATCCGCAGATCTCGCACAGACGTACAAATGACAGGTATGGTTCTCAATCGAGCTGGCGGCGGTCAACCATCGTCCTTAAACCTGGCTTGATCCATCAGTTCGGTTACACAATTTTTAAGCAGTCCCCGATACTGATCTCAACCATTGTCTCTGATCCAGTACAGTATGGCGTCTTTGGAGGCGTCATCTAAGGCTTCGTCTAAAGCTTCGTCCAAATGTCATATCAAAAATTCACCTAAAGAGTCGCACAAAAGGTCACCGAGGTCATCAGAAGGTCTACAAATCGCGGAACCTGAGCCATATCCTGAAGCCGTCAATCGATATTCCCCGAATCGCGATACCAAATTACCACAGCTACAAGATCAGCCAGGCCCTGATGAAGCATCAATACGTACCCGGCAATCTCAAGAGCGTCTATCCTTTCGTCCTAGGCCGTATAGTGATCAATCTGGATATGGACCCACAGTCGAAGTTCCACCGGATGTGGTGAAAAAGTTTTTTGCTCACCGACGACGCAAGTTTTTGTTCATTGTTGTCTTCACACTATTTATAGTTGGTACCCTTATTGGCTCCAGTATAGGAGGTGCACTATATGTGCAAGACAAAGCTGAACAGTACGTTTGTTCTACTTCCCGCTTGACTTGGATCTTACCGCCTAACTTCTACTAGATCCGCCCCTGGAAGCGAAAATACCACTGATGTACAAGATGAAGGTCCAACAGCAAACTCCACACTCGCACCAGCGGAGCCTCCTACTCAAACCCAACCCTCGGGTGCGGCATACACAGCGCGACCATTTGGCGCCATCCAATCAATCAACACAATATGTCCATCCACCCTCCTCATATCTAGTCAACTCGAAGGCAGGAATTCAGACACGAGTGGCCGCTACACCTACAACTGCCTCGACAATACCAATATCCTAGACGAACCCAACCTCATGGCTTTTACTGCATACACCCTTGAACAATGTGTTGACGCTTGCAGCCAATACAGCGCCATGGGCAACAAGAACGAAACGTGCAAGGCGGTTGTAATCAACTCACAGTTTCGCGAACGATACGAGACGGGACACGGGGCGAACTGCTGGCTGAAGGGCTCGGCGGATGACGCTAGTACGGGGAAATCGGGATACACGGCGGCTGTCTTACGTGAGGGGTGAGTCAATATCTGCAATCACCATAAGGATGTTGATTTGGTACTTTTGTTATGTGTCTTTGATTGTTGACCGTATGTCACTGGAACAACATTTATCGACCCGGCTAGTTTATTGTCTTGAAGTAGCATTGAGGTTGTTTCAAACCACCATCTCTTCATCGTTGCTGCTTGCTCATTTGAGCATAGCAAAAATGCTCTTGTTACTGTGGAGCAACTGTCTAGCCTTTTGTTGTCTAACGCAAAGCCCACTGTCCCACTGCATTCTATTCTTTTTGTTACACGCGAACAGCAAATAGGATTCAATGAGCACCCTAATCGCCTTGAATGATGCTTGTTCCTTTCAATGTTACTAAAAGGAAGCAAAATGCATGAAAAGTCGCCCAACCACTGTTTGACTATAACTCGCACGGCAATATCGCGAACGCACTCAATGGCAAAATGAATGCACGAGATGCCGATAAGAAGACTTCGAGTGTCTTAGACTCCACTGAGAAACAACACCAGCAGTTACCAAAAGCTGCAAAAAGAGAATTTCCGACACCGGGAATCGAACCTTTTAAGATGTTAGATTGAGTTGTCGGAGTGGGTTACTGTGATTGAACTTACCCGGGCCTTGCCGGCACTGAACAGTGAACTGACTCTGCAATGAGAGCGGCAAATCCTAGCCACTAGACCATATCGGATATTGATGGAAAGTTGAATTTTTACACTCAAAATAAATGTAGCATACTTGAAGTTTCTGCAAAATTAATTTATCACCAATGGAAATGGAAATTTGCTATCAGTAACGCTGATAGCAGAGATTTCGGAGATTTTTGACCGTGGGGTGGGCCGCAATAAGCCAGACGCCCTGCTATGCTAGACTACCCCACTTTTGGAAATTTTTGAATAACCAACGTCTGATACAATACTGCGTGCAGCCGTAGAAAGGTTTGCATCATTATTTGAGGGAATTTTTATGATATCTGAATGCTAATAAATCAATCTACGAGGTTGTTTTATGATGAGGCTCATGTAGTATTCTACCCTGCAAGTCCGACATGTGAATTTAGAGCCCTCAGTAAAGTTTTGGTAATACAAATTTCGTACTAGCATAAGCAACAGGATAGTCCACCAATATCAGAAAACTCGGCATATTTCAAATTTTTTTAAATAATTTACCAGAGGGCATGTTTAGCACATCAATCGTTATATCTTCAAACGGAAATATCACAACAATCACAGCCAAAAAAAAACCCCCAATCAAAAGTCTCATCAAATAATAGAAATTAATAATCTATTCATATACTCATAATCACATCAAACCCATTTTTTCGGGCCAGTTTCTCTACTGTCCAACAACAGTAAAGCTATCGTGAACCTTCAAGTCACGGCTGCTAAGTCCAACCCAGATGTTGAACTCGCCCTCGGGGATAACCCACTGCTGGCTAACAACATCCCAGTAGCTCAGATCCCTGCGCATAAGCTCGAAGCTAACGCTCTGGGTCTCACCCTTCTCAAGGTACACCTTCTCGAAGCCGCGGAGCTGGCGCACAGGAGTGCCAGCAGGGGCGGAAGAAGGCAGACCGACGTACAGCTGGGGCACAGCAGCGCCGGCAACGTCACCGGTGTTGGCAACAGAGACAGTGACGTTGTAGATGGACTCCCAGAGAGCAGGGTTGCCGCCGGGCTGGATGGGAAGGTCCTCGGGCTTGGAGGTGATGGCCTCCTTGAGAGGAGCAGACTTGATGTTGGAGATGGAGAAGGTGGTGTAGGAGAGACCGAAGCCAAATTCGTAGCGGACGGACATGTTGTGCATGTCGAAGTGGCGGTAGTCAATCTCAAGCTTCTCGTTGAACCAGCTCTGCCAGTCGTTGAAGCCGTCGGTTTGGATTTCAGTGGTGGGGGGCGCGTTCCAGTCGTCACCGTTCTTGGCGATGGTGTAGGGGAGGTGGCCAGAGGGGTTGACGTCGCCATAGAGGATGTCGACAAGAGAGTTGCCAGATTCTTCACCGGGGAAGTGAGCGGCTAGGATGGCGGTGACGTTGGGGTGGTCAGACCATGGCAGAGTGTTGATACCGGAGGAGTAGGTAACGACGACGGTGTTGTTGCAGAAAGCTGCAACGGACTCGACAACCTCGTCACCGTTCCAGTCGGATCCAAGGTGATAGCGGTCATCTCCCTCCTCGGCCCAGGTCTTGAGCATGACAATGCAGACATCTGGTACATCGCGTGGAATGACGAGAGTGCTGACATTGTTGTTGATGATGTGGGTGTTGTTAAGGAAGTACTGGACAATGCCACGGTCTTCCCTGACACGCTGCTGGATAGCGCTGAGGGGCGTGATCACGTAGGTGTTCTGGCCGGTACCAGAGCCACCGCCTGCAAAGATGGCTCCGTATTCATAGTTTTGCTGGTTAAGGACAGAACTACGAGCAGGCTCACCAGCTCCGTTACCGAAGACTGCAACGTTGCGGGGTGCCTTGAGAGGCAGAGTACGGTCTACGTTCTTCAACAGGACAGTGCCAGCGGCACCGTGTCGACGGATCAGCTCGGCGTGGTTGCCACGAACATCACGGCTCTTCTCGCCAGTAAGGTTGAACTCGCGGGTCCAGGTGTTTCGTGGAGAGAAAGTGTTGAGATCAGCAGAGGAAGGGTCAACGGACGGGTAGCCGTTGTCCTGGCCCAGCTGGAAGTAGGGAGTCATGATACGGAGGACCATGTCATCGATGCGAGATTCATTGATAGTGCCGTTGTTAACAGCAAGAGTGACATTGCCGCCAAAGTAAGATGGGACACCAAAATTCATTCCGTAAGAACCAAGTCCACCAGGCATGTTCATGTCGAGACCAGCCTCGATGGAGGCAACACCCGAGTGGGTCGCACCCCAGTCGGACATAATGTATCCTTGGAAGCCCAGCTCACCCTTGAGCAAGCCGTTTTGTGAAGCAGAGTTCTGGCATCCGTAAGATCCATTGATTCTCTGGTACGAGCACATGACACTGGCAGCGCGGGCCTTGATAGCGTTGGCGAATGGCCACATGTAAAGCTCGTGCATGGTGCGGTCATCAATGTTGGATGAGATAGCAGCTTGCTTTTGTTCGGTGTTGTCATCCGTGCGGTAGGTAGGATTACGCATGATTTCCTGCTCGTTGCCGATCCAGTGCTTAGGGCAAGCCTGTACACCTGCATCTTGAGATGCCAGGATGGTCTTCTCCATAGCTACACCACTGAGATAAGGGTCTGAGGAAAAGCCTTCCCAGTTGCGGCCGGCATAGGCGGAACGTCCAAGTGGTCCTGCGACAGGACCCAAGAAGACGTGAGCACCCTTTGCCCTGAATTCTTCGCCCATGGCATAACCGCGCTCATACATGAGGTCCTTGTCCCATGTAGCACCAGCGGATACACCGGCGGAGAAGACGCTTGCGTAGTCAGCCACGCGAATGGCAAGAGGTCCATCGTGAAGGCAAAGACCAGGGAAGCCCAGGCGGGGAATGGCAACGATGTTACCAACGCAAGGGCCGGCTTGACCAGTGACCATGTCAGCCTTCTCTTCCAGAGTGAGTTGAGCCACGAAAGCCTTTGCCTTCTCAAGACCCATCTCCCAGCCGCCAGCACCAGAAGTCTTTGCTGCACAAGTTATTAGACATGCCCGACAATCTGACCACCATCTCTAGGAAAACTTACGTGAAGGATATACGGCCGGCGAGGAGCCATACTCGGTCAGGATGGTAGTGTTGAGTGGCTGGACGTAATTGAACGCGCCTTCACCACGACCACTACCTCCGCCAAAGTTCTGAGCACTGACTGCAGCCAAGAGGGCAGAGCCCGAGAGCACCTTGGAGACGACAGAGGGCGCCATGATTCCAGATAGCCGAAGGTGAATCGAAAGCCTGAATACCCATGATTGCAGTTGCACTGAGGCACTTATATACCACTATTGTTCCCTCGCCCCCGGACCAAAGTCGCCTGCCGGTACCACTTTACAACCCGGGACTGACACGTTCAGAGGCCCACGATGCAAGCATACTGGGGACCGAAGTTTACCCGTCCGAGCTGTGGAGTCTCCGCAAACTCGCTCCATACCATGTTCATAATAACACTGCCAATAACGACGTCATGGATTGGCTGCGGAACGACTGCCAAGATGGCGGTTCGACAGTTTTGCGCCTCGGCAGATGCATGTGGAGTCCGTCCGAGCAAGAGTCGGAGTGCAGAGCCGCATGACTCGTGTATGGTGTATTTGCGGGGATCGTGACAATGGGGTGAATGACTCGGTCCGATCAACACAGTCTACAATCGCGTCATAGCCATGTTCTCGGTAGTCCGCTCCGAGCCGCAAGAATTGCTTGCTCATTTGAACCTAATCTTTTACTATGGCGCTGGAAGACGTTTGAAATTTAGTATAGGGTTACATATACCATGGGAAAGCCATGATTCCCATAGTCCGTTGCTAGAGCAAGTCTTGCGCTCGGGATAACTCGTTCCCCACGACAATGCAGCTTCTCTACTCAAGGCCCCAGCTTTTCACCCACCGCCGTGGAGTGGAGCGGGGTGAAGAAAACATTCTCGTAAAGCCGAATAGAAGTCCCGACGGGCACTGCAGGATACGTGCCTTCGTCACGAGGCCTGCAGGGAAGTTGAAGAATCCTGCTAGAATCGATCCAAGCGTCGGGAAGCGTTGTGTGCTTTCGGTCTGCGCTACGCTTCTCTAGGCAATGCGCCCTGCTCAAGTCCCCAGTATCCACCTTTTGTCACATGGGGATCAGCTCCAGAACTCCACATAGACGCACCACCTTTGCTGGCTTCCCCGCAATAAACATGTTTTGGCCCGAAGTTGAGCCTCGGACGCGGTTAGGATTGTCAGGTCGAGCGTTAGTCGCTGGGTGAAAGAAAAGTCTTAGACGTCTTCTAGGCAATGACAGAACGCATAACTGCTGCCGAAATTCCCGCGCTTGGCAATACATTTCAGCATGAGGGGAACCCATTTGTAATGTACTGTTTTGCGGAGATGTGCTTGGAAGA